TATAATTTGTAAAAATTGGGACAAATCAGGGGCGGCTGGGTGGCTAAGTCAGTTAAGTGTCCAACTTCAGCTCAGGTCACGATCTTGCAGTCCATGAGTTCGAGCCCCGCATCGAGCTCTGTGCTGATAGCTCAGAGTCTGGAGCCTGTTTCAGATTCTGTGTCCCCCTTCTCTCCCTGCCCCTCCCCCACTTATGCTGTCTCACTTTGTCTCTCAAAAAATTAGGACAAATCGATCAATAATTAATATATAAAAACATGTACAAAACATTATGAACAAGATGAAAACCTCCAAAAGAAAAAAAAATGAGCAAAGGACACATGCCATCCACACATACACAAAAAAATCCAGAAATGGCCAGTGAACCTACAAAAATATATTTCACTTCATTAATAACACAAGTATATGCTAAATATTGTTCTAAGCAGTTTATATATATATTATATATACATTTATATTTATTATTATTTAACCATCACAACAATTCTGTAAAATGGGTACTATTATCATCTCCTTTTATGGATGATGAAACTGAAAGGTTAGGTAATTTGTCCAAACTCACACAAGTAGTTAATAAGCAGTGATGCTGGGATTTCAACTATGTAATTAAAACAAAAATGACAGAGCAAGCATGCACTGTACTAATACCCAAGGTCCCCGGAAAATGGGAACAGACACCCTAGGTAAGAGTATCAGTTAGCATAGTCACTCTAAAAGACAGCATGGCAATGAAGTTCAAAAGCCCTACAAATATTTGAAAATTTTCTCAAGCAATAATTCATACCACCCAAGACAGTGATTACATGGGGTGGAGGCACTCCACGGAAAAACACATAAGGAGCCTAAAAGCTGGGAACAAGGACATTCACTTTACTCATCTTTAAACTGTATACAGAGGTTCTATATTCTTTGGATATATTTCACAATAAGAAATCCTTTCTTTCCTTACCATTTTATCTGGACCTTTGTATGGACTTGTGACATAAATGTTTTTAAGTAATCACATCCCAAATTGGCCAACATAATGAGAAGAAGGAAAAATAGCAGGGAAATAATCTCAGTAATAGACTCAGTTTGGTAATTAAGCATATTTCAGTTTAGGAGCAGTGGTCAGGTACATCTTTAAACCTGTACTTCATTTCTTAGAATGTATTGTAAAGAAATAAAGGATGTGTAGAGATCTAAGCACAAAAACATTTATTATAGCTTTACTGATAATGGTGATGATTAGAAAAAGCCAGCTGTCACACAATGAGGAATGTCTAAAATATAAGTTCAGGGGCATCTGGGTGGCTCAGTCAGTTAAGCGGCCAACTTTGGCTCAGGTCATGATCTCGCGGTCCGTGAGTTCAAGCCCCGCGTCGGGCTCTGTGCTGACAGCTCAGAGCCTGGAGCCTGCTTCAGATTCTGTGTCTCCCTCTCTCTGACCCTCCCCTGTTCATGCTCTGTCTCTCCCTTTCTCAAAAACAAATAAACGCTAAAAAAATAAAAATAAAAATAAATAAATAAATAAAATAGAAGTTCATATAAGAGTTTATCTGTAGTAATTTTAAATGATTTTGTAAAGTCCATTTATTGGCATGCGAATATATTAAGTGGGAGAAATGTAAAACATGTACAGTGTGAGTTCCTTTTTATTACATACACACACAATCTAGAAATATGCTCTAAAATATAAATAACAATTTTGCTAATAGAAAAACCTATCACTTATCTGTGTTTTCCAGTGTGCGATAATAAATATTAAAATCTTTAAAGAAATGATGTTTGTTTTTTAATTTTAAGGCAAAAGATTTTCATTACCTTCAGTCTTAGGCATTTTTAACAAATGAGTTTAACCCTTCGAGGTTCAAGCTTTTCTCTGCATTTCAGTTAGACTCTGGAAGATACAACAACTCAAGCAACAAAATTGCGATTCCTTAAATTATATTTCTTTTCTATGAAATGGCTGACACACTACTGGAATGAAAGAAGAAGAAAGAAATCTAATGTGTAGTTTACAATACACTTCCAACTTTAAACATGTCTAAGTAACTAAGCCTTAGCATAGTTCTAATTAAGTTCTACAACTTAATTCCAGGGTTTTTTTTCCTCCTTTAGTAATTGGGATTTGGAGCTTTCAAAGACTTCCCCCATAGTATGTATAAATAGTAGAGTCTAAGATATTTTAAGAGTAGGGACAGAAATGGGATAGGGAAGTTGGATGGATGGGTCAAAGTACATGGGGTTTATGAGTCAGGAGGTAAGTCACACAGTATGTTAACCTATGACAGATATGCCAAGGAAAAAGTATTGGAAAGAACAGATAAGAGAAAATATGCTGGTGGATGTGTTAGGAAAAGATTTTTCAGAATGAATAACTGACAGGATTATACTAATGCATATCAGATTATCTGTACAGGGGATAGTAAAAATGACTGCGAAAGAAAGTATGGAAATTTCAACTTCAATATAGTCTGTAATGTAACTTCAAAGTGTTAGATGAGAAAATAGTGTTTTCTGTAGAGGCAAGGTGAACTGACAAAAAAATGAAATCAGCTGATTTTCCTAAAGCACTCACTATAAATTCTGATTAGGTATTTGCATTGTTTAAGGACTTCAAAACCACCTACTAAAATATTAGCAAACAGATTTACAGTACATAAAAAATACACTATGATTAAGTGGGGCTCAAATCAGAACTGCAAAGATGGTTCAAGTGTAAGAAATCTACTACTATAATTCAGCATAATGATAGACCAAAAGAGGAAAAAACACAATTACAGCAGAATTCTAAAGAAGCATAAACGTTCTTTCTTGATTTTTAAAACAATAAAAAAGGAATCAGTATTTTTCAACATGCATGAAAAAAAAAAGATTTCCTTTAAGTGATTTTTGAGAAATATACAAAAGTCAGTATTAGACTTGAGGGAGGTGCTAGAAGCATTCTCATAAAAGTAAAGGAAGGAAAAAAAAGGGTCTAATATCATGACTAATATTTAATAGTTTTTCAAAGATACTGCATAGTACCATTAAACAAGAGCAGAAAATCAAAAGGTTTAGAACTTGAAAAGGAATTCATCATCTTTTGCAAATGATATGACCATTTACCTAGAAATCCAAGAGAATCAACTGAAAAAACTAATTATAAACAATGAAAGAATTCTGTGCTATGGCTAGGGACAAAATTAACATAAAAATGGTATTCTTTTATATAGAGATAAAGTAATGTAGTAAAATAATTCTTAATAGATACACAAAAGGAGATAAATACAAAAGAAAGTTTTAATATTTAATATACAAGATAATTATGAAGAAAACTTCAAAGTGTTACTGAGAGCAAAACTACTCCCCATTTTAAAGATGAAGTGAAGTGAAGCTCAGAGAGGCACAGGAAGTCTTCCTAACTTGCCTGACCAGTAAATGGTGACAAAAAAGACGGACCTAGATTTGTCGGACTCCAAAATTCATCTTTTCCACGCAAGATATTGCTGAAAGTTCAGTCAATGGATACTCCATAAGCAAAACCAGAAAAATTCAAGAAACCTTCACTATTTAATATTTTCAATGATTTGAAAGTTCTATTTATTTAAAAAAAAATTTTTTTTATGTTTATTTACTTTTGAGCCAGAGACAAACAGCATGAGTGGGGGAGGGGAAGAGAACGAGGGAGACAGAATCTGAAGCAGGCTGCAGCCTCTGAGCTGTCAGCACAGAGCCCAACACGGGGCTCGAACCCACGAACTGTGAGATAGTGATCTGAGCCGAAGTCAGACACTTAACCAACTGAGCCACCCAGGTGCCCTGAAAGTTCTATTTATAAGCACTTAAAATGTACCCAAGATATTTTTATGAAAGTAACATGAACAAGTTACAGAAAAATCAGAGAAGCTGCCTGAAATAAACTGAATTAGCTCTATCAGGTCCTTGTATTAGGTTCTCAAAAGGAGTAGATGTATATGCACACTTCCCAGGATAGGGAAGATCCCCAGTATTCCCCACACTACCCTGAACAAGAAGAGGGAGAGGGAAAAAAGCTGAGGTAGACATTTCAATCTGGTCCTTTCCTTAACCATGGCCCTGTGGTACCTACAGTTTGTCCCTGACTTCCTAATCCCCTTCGGTTACTCTGCATTTGTTTTCCTGACATCTTGATGACACTCTTGGCACATGGAACGCTATACTAAATACGAGGCCCCCCTCTTTTGGCCTATCTCCATGGATCCTAGAATTCTTCTCATGCTAGGTTTTGTTTGTTGGTCCTGTCAGTCACATACTCATCAGTTGTGACTTATAGTTAGTTATGATATTTCTCAAACAGCAGTGGAAAATGGTGCTCGTGCACTCTTCCCTAGATATCAGGTATAGTAATTCTCTTCTCTTGTAGAATTAAACTCTTAAGAACTTAATATTCTACTGTAGTTTGGAAAAGGTAAGCATGGCTACCTGAGGTACAAAGGGAAAGTAAGAAAACAATGGTGAACGAAAGTACAACTATTATAGTTGTAGGGGCAGGACTGGAAAAATGGGTGATGCGAATCCAAAGCTATTCAGAAGTTAACTAGATAACTATATGAAATGAAAGCCTGTGATGAAGACACAAATAAGAAAGGAATATCAGAAGTGCTCTGAATGTATAATACTTACTTTGGCTCTCAGTTCTGAAAACCAACAATTTATAGGCATCAGAACTTTGGGAGAAAAAAGCTAAGTTATCCACAGTCCTATGTACCAGTTAGTAGTTAATTAGAGCCCTCATGCAAGGTACAGCCTGGAAAACCCCATGAAAACAGGTAAATCCTACATTTCTATTCCTGTGATAGTTTTCAGGATACTGAAACTCAAATTTCTCTGAGAGACAGACACTTTACATTGTCCTGCAAAGCTCTTGTGAACAGCAAGACATGGTCTACAGGCAAAAAAGAGGCATATCATAAAAAGAGAAGAGAGAACTCATCACAGAAGGAACTACAGAAGTTCCCCTGTCCCTCAAAGAAAACAAACATTCCTAACATCCTTACCAGTAAACAACATCCAGTGGTGCAAAGTAATTTTTCATTATCAGGTCAGCAAAGTAAGCTTCTGTTTCCCGGCAGGCAGTTCCATTTCCAATCACCACCGTGCTGCAGCTTCAAGGGATAAACAAGATGAGAAATGGAATGAGCTCAAGGCTTGCTTCTAAATCAATCAGAAGAAAACGTACAGAATGCACAAATACTATCATACGATGATCTTACTCTCTCCATTGTATCACAAGGGAGACACAGACTTAGGTAGAATTAAGGGCAATGCCACTGCATTTGCTATGGGAGGCAGAGGACAAATATTTCACTGTGACACAATTAAGAACAATCAGCTTACTTCCCATCTAGAAGGAACCAAATTTAGACATGGATAAGAAACTCTGGTACATTCTACGCCATAATGAAGATGCCATGCCTGAACTATGTGATATATTGTCAAGTAATCTCTGAAGCTTCAAACTACTATCATATCCATTCAAATCCTCAAGTCCATGAAAAAGAATGGAAGAGGAAAGAAGGAAAGAAGGCAGGAAGGACAGATGCACAGGAAGTGAGGGAGAGAGAGAGAAGGAGACAGAGAAAGCCCAAATAAAAGAAGTCAATGGTCACTTTTGCTCATATTACCACCTTTGTTTAGTGAAGGTGGCAGAGGAAGGGAGCAATGTCCCTCCTGAGTCTCCAAATGTAGAGTTCTCCAGCAATTTGCCCCAGCATTGTTTTACATGGTTCCTTCTCTCTCACCAAGGCACTTCCCTTAATCCCTCCCTCCAAATTAGGAGCGTCAAAGGTATCTCTGATTGGCTGAGACAGTGAAGTACTCAAAATGTTACTTATTTTCATACTTGAAATTCAGCAAAAGCCTCTTTATTTTCTCTGCCTCTCGGAAGCCTTGTCCACAATGCAAGTAAACCACATCTGTATGAAGTATCTGACCTTAGAAAAAATGAAAATAAGAAGCCAGTTTGTAACAAATTACAAAACATAACACACAGATGATCTGATTAAGCAATCTGAACCAAAAAAGAGAACTGCTTTCTTTTAAAATGCAGCATGAATCATTCATATTCACTAAACTGAATTCTCCCGAAGTACTCTAAAATTTTCTTACCTCCAAAGTTACAAGGACACTACTTTGCTATTTATTATTATTAACAAAATCATTAGATTAAATATCATGATGCCTAAAAGAGAAATGGTTTTTAACAACACCTAATATCAAGCTAACATTTACTGAATATTAACTATGTGCCAGGCAATGTTGTGATACTATTCTATTTCTTCTTTTGGGTTACAGATATGTGAATTTCTTTATCTTGTATAATTCTTTCAGCTGCATATTTATGACCTGTGTGCTTCTCTATATTTCAGTGAAAAATATATTTGATGGTAACAACCTCAAGAACAGAAATAATGAACTAAGTGACCAATTTAGAATGTTATGAAAAAAACAACAAAATCTCAAAGAAAGGAGAAGGAAAGCAATGATAAAGTTAAAAACAGAAATTAATGAAACAGAAAAAAATATATATAATAGAGGGGATTGGTGAAGTTTAAAGTTAAAAATCACTTGGGGCGCCTGGGTGGCGCAGTCGGTTAAGCGTCCGACTTCAGCCAGGTCACGATCTCGCGGTCCGTGAGTTCGAGCCCCGCGTCGGGCTCTGGGCTGACAGCTCAGAGCCTGGAGCCTGTTTCAGATTCTGTGTCTCCCTCTCTCTCTGCCCCTCCCCCGTTCATGCTCTGTCTCTCTCTGTCCCAAAAATAAATAAATGTTGAAAAAAAAAATTTAAAAAAAAAAAAAAAAGTTAAAAATCACTTGAGAAAAACACATACTTTTCGCAATACTTATCAAGAGAAAGAAAGAAGACACAAATAACTTAAAAAAAAGTTAGATACAAATAAATCATATTAGTAATGAGAAGAGGATATTACTGGAGCTTCAGCACACATTAAAAAGATACAGAGACTATGATAATCAACTTCATGTTAATTCAGATTAAATGATGCAATGGATAAATTCTTGGAAATGTCTTACCAAAACAGATTGAAAATATATACATACATATATACGTGTGGGAGTGTATATGGTATTTTTAAAAAGTTATCTTACAAGCAGTACAAATAATATCATGTCCAAACACAAATACATATGTTACCTCAACAGATGCAGGAAAAAACACTAATAAAATATACTTCCCATTTACGGTAAACATGTACACCATAAAAAAAAACAGACCAAGTAGAACTGCAAAATCAAAAACCCATGACTATATCTATAACAAAGCATCTCCAGAAAACCAAAGGATGATCAATTGGGAATAACATAACTATCAAGGCCAACATGTATGGGCATTTCTGTGGGAGCAAGAAGAAAGAAGCAATGAAGTATCTCATGGACCAAAAATATCAAAAAGCACTTCCCTGGGAAAAAGACCTTTGCACACTGTTAATTTATAGGTCAGTATAAAGGTTGCCCATTGAGTTCAGGCAGGATTGGAAAACCCTGCTCTCTATGAACTCTTGAAACAAACAAGAAGAATATGCTTTTCAAGACAAAAACCCCAACTGAGGACAAACTGTTGAGAATCATATCCACACTGAGCAAGGCAAGGATAAAAGGGGCAAAGGAAAAGGGAGTGAAAGTCCCAGTAAAAGGGAGGAAAGCATTGGGAAAACAGACTCTAGAAAGTAGAAGACCATCTCTTTATTCATATAGATACAGAGGAGCTTTTCCCCCACAATAATTTTGGGAAAAAAATAAGTGATAGTTCTAGAGATATACTGTTAGAAAACCTTTCCTGGTGTTCTATCCTAAAAGTTGGAGAAAATGAATTTTATATAAAACTGACCAACAGGAAAGGATCACAATTAAATGCCATATAAAATGATTATTTTTTAAAAACAGGAAATTAAAAAGGACACAGAAAGATGTGTCCACAAAACAGAGAAAAATGGTAACCTAATATAGAAGAATGATCTACAAAAAAAATCATAAAAAAAAAGAATAACATAAATCAGAATTAAAAACCCCCAGAAATGAGAGAATTCAAAAGTGAATTAGCATAAAAGAAAAAGTTATTTTAGAAAGAAAAAACAAAACCAAAAGAAACACAAGAATAAATATAACAGGATATAATAATATCCTTTTATATATATATTACGTGTAATCTATAATAGCATACAATAATATAAAATAAGAGAACCATAAGGTATAAGAAAAATATAAAAGTTAAAAAAATTTAAAGTGAAGAAGTTCACTATAGAACTGAAATGAATTTTTGTAAGCACCAAATGAAAATGCCAAAACTTAAAAACATAGAAATTTAAATAACGAACTCAATAGATAGCTTTAATTGCAGATCAGACATACAATAAAACATAATTAATATAAAGACAAACAATAGAAAATAGAAGAATGAAAAACAGAAGAAGTTGAAAGATCTAATATGCATGTAGCTGGAATCCCAGAAAGAAATGGAAAAAGCTCTACAAGCCCCAAGCCAAATTCATGCAAAAAACCCGGCAAAAAACAAAACAAACACACACACACACACACACACACACACACACACACACACACAACTAAGCACATCATAAGAAAATCTCTGAAAACCACAAAGAAAATCTTAGCAGTCAGAGGAAAAAAAATAGCATTACCTTCAAAGGAGCAATAATAAGATTTTTGGTTGATTTTTCATTCTCAACAAAAAGTATAGTAGCCAGAGGTGGGAAAAAACACTAACAAAAAATGAAATGACACCTTTAAAGTACTGAAAGTAACACCAATCCTGAATTCTATACCCAGCAAAAATATCTTTCAAAAAACAAGGGCAAATCAGAAACATTTTAGACAAAAACTGACACAATTTGTCACCAGCTGACCCCACACTAAATTTAACAAGTTAGAGTGTCAGGCAGAAAGAAAATGATTTCAAATAATAACACAGAAATGCAGTAAGAAATAAAGAGCAATAGAAAAAGTAGAGAGTAAGGGAAAAAATGCTGGGCAAAACAAAAATTTCTGGTATTAAAATATATACAGAGTTAAAATGCATCATATATAAATACACTACAATAAACAGAAGTTGCTAGAGGATAGTTATTAAAGCTTGAGCCTAGTTAATCCTCAATATCTCCACTGTGACATAGGAAAGGTCATAAATGATAGTAATGTGTTGAGACTTTTGGTCACCAAAGAAGGCAAATATGAAGTTTGATTTTCTAGTTTCCATATATGTGAGACAACCATTTTCTAAGCCTCAAAAATTAACATAATTTCCAAACCCTCACAACATATACCATGTAAAAGTTATGACCAGCCAACCAACTTTTATTTGAAAAGCTGAAAGATGTGCTTACTGGTAGGAGAAATTATAGCCAATTTGCAACCATGTTTGTAACCAGGATCCACCCCCATCAGGGTGCGCCCTGGAACAGGACTTGTTAAAAGGAGCTGACGAAGGTTCCGTCCAAACATCATTACTGATTCCTTCTCTGCATCTGATGTTAGTTTGGCCCTTTAGAAACCAAAAAATAAAAGGAAAAAGAACGGATTTAGTTTTTCATTCACCGAAACTCTCTTCCTGAAAAAGAACAAAATTCATTCCACTTATTCTTCACAGGAATACTTATTGTAACAAAATAAAGGAGGGGCACCTGGGTAGCTCAGTCAGTTAAGTGACAGACTCTTGATTTAGGTTCAGGTCATGATGTCAGGATCGTGGGATCAAGCCCCATGTCAGGCTCTGCGCTAAGCATGGAACCTGCTTAAGATTCTCTCTTTCTCCCTCTGTCCCTCCTCTGCTCCTCCACTCTCTCTCAAAAAAAATAAAGAATAAATAAAAAATAAAGGAAAAAACATCATATATAAAATTATACTATGAGTCGATTTTTGCTAACTGCAGTAATACATGGAACCACAAATAATTCTGAAGCAAATCTGAGGAGTTTGTCATACCTATATCCCTTCTCTATCTGCTCTATGCAAAAATCAATATCTATAAATATCTGTGTATGTGAGAGAAATAGAGCATATAAAGACTTGGACATCACATAGAATGTCAAGTTAAAGCTTACCAGCTGATTAAAAATACAAACACAAAATTAGTTTTTGTTTTAATTTTTTTGTAACATTTCTTTATTTTTAGAAAGAGAGAGACAGAGTGTGAGCAAAGGAGAAACAGAGAGGAGAAACAGAACTTGAAGCAGTCTCCAGGGTTTGAACTGTCAGCACAAAGCCCAAAGCAGGGCTCGAACTCACAAACTGCAAGATCATGATCTGAATCAAAGTTGGACGCTTAACTGACTGAGCCACCCAGGTGCCCCACAAACACAAAATTAGTGATAAATTATCAAATCCTAAGTAATCTCTTCTATCAACACTTAAACTTTTACACTTTTATCTGTACGAATCTGAGTATCTAATCATTCAATTCCATTCCCCACATTGAGTCCCCACCCTGTCATTCTCACAGAGATGTGACATGATCAAGGATACCAGTAAGCAGTCCAGAATCTTGCCTCATGTACATAACTTCCCAGCTTACTCCAAAGAAGTTAGTAAGAGTCTAATTTTAAAACTTTTTCTAGAATAAAATATATATGTCCACGATGGACTTAAAGTCCACTGGAAACTAAGTTTTCAACACCATTCATCTTAACAAAAGCCCTGAACATTATCATGTCCTGAAATTCTTAATGAATTTTGTATTAAGACATAACAAGCATGTCTTCGCCACTAGACTAGGTTAAGAAATTCATGCCACGGCCACAAGAAAAGAGTACAAAAGCCACTCAAAGTACATTTCATATTAGTGCTGAGGTACAGTTATCTACATATCCAAAGACACACACAGCTGCCTGGGTGGCTTAGTCGGTTAAGTGTCCGACTTCAGCTCAGGTCAAGATCTCATGGTTTGTGGGTTCAAGCGCTGTGTCAGGCTCTGTACTGAAAACTCAGAGCCTGGAGCCCACTCTGGATTCTGTATCTCCCTTTGTCTCTGCCCCTTCCCCACTGGTGCACTGTGTCTGTCTGTCTGTCTGTCTCTCTCTCAAAAATGAATAAACATTAAAAAATGAAAAAAACATTTGAAGACACAGCTAACTAATTTCTGCTTTTCTGTCTTGAGTCTTTTTTTTTTTTTTAGAGAGAGAAAGAGCACATGCACATTTGTGTGTGTGAGTGGGGGAGGGCAGGAGAGACAGGGAGGTTTTTTTTTTAATTTTTTTCAATGTTTATTTATTTTTGAAGGAGAGAGAGAGACAGAGCATGAGCAGAGGAGGAGCAGAGACAGAGGGAGACACAGAATCTGAAGCAGGCTCTAGGCTCTGAGCTGTCAGCACAGAGCCTGACATGAGGCCTGAACTCACACAACAGTGAGATCATAACCTGAGCCAAAGTCAGCCACTTAACCAACTGAGCCACCCAGGCACCCCTTGAGAGAGAGAGAATCCTAGGCAGGCTCCAAGCCCAGCAAGGAGCCCAATGTGGGGCTCAATCTCACCACTGTGATATCAGGACCTGTGCCAAAATCAAGAGTCAGATGCTGAACCACCTGAGCCACCCAGGTGCCCCTAAACTGGAGAACTTTCTCAGGTGAATTAAGAATACTAATAGAAAAAAAAAAACAAAAAACTAAGAGTAATAAGAAAACAAAGGTAGAGAGAGTGGATGGAAGACATAGAGGAAATGTTCCAGGCAATGGAAAACCAAGTAATTTCATATGCTAAGGTAAAAAGAAATACCAAGATATAAGTCAAAACAAAATCCAACCACAAAGGGTTAGGCATGTTCTTCTGAAGAGCCTGGATTTAATCCTAGAGACAAAGAAGAGCCATTGAAGAATTTTAAGTAGAAGAGCATGAAATAATCAGATGAGAGTTTTAGGATGGCAAAGTGAAATGTGTTATTGCAAAATAAAGACAGAGATCATCTATGACCCTAGAAGAGTAATCCAGACAACTAATTATGATGTCCTGAACTAAAACCGTAACCACAGAGAATAAGAGGAGGCGAAATTCAAGGTATGATAAAGGATGGATGGGAGAATAGACAGCACTTGGTAACTGACAATGTAGGATTGATGAAAGAGATAGGTGTGAAAAATGACACATGGATGAATCATCTTGACATCTGCAGAAATAAGAAATCCAAAGTAGACTGCCTTATATATATATATATATATATATATATATATAGTCAACTGAACTGAATGTATATGTTCATGATTATCTCTAGGTAGTGAAATTTTGTGAGCTTTTTTCTTTATGTTTTACTAATTCTTTCAATTTTTCTACATTAGGACAAATTTCTTTTTAATTAGAGAATCAAGTTAATTTTCTTTAAAGAAAAATCAATTGGGAGTTTTCTCCCTCAATTGCTGTTCAGGTAATTACAAGTATTTCTATCAAGAGACACATCTGCAGACAATGTCTGCAAACCAACTTACAGACTAAAATAAGATACATATTTTTTTTAACCACAGCCATTTTAGAAAAAAAGAAAAGTGGTCTTGCTTGCCCACTGCTAATATAAGTCAAAGAAGGGTTATACATTAACACACCCACACCCAAATGGCTTACATTAAATCTCAGTGAAATCATTCCATAGGCAGTGAAGCTACTCAAATCAAATGTATGCAAAAATGTCAAAAGCACTACTGGACATTTCATGCAATATGAAAAAACAAGATAAAGAAAAAATATATAAAAGGAAATAAAATTTTGAATAAAGTAATTTTCTTTTTTTCCTTCATTATAAACAAAATCCCTTATTTTAAAATTTTATGCCCTAGCACTCAAAAGCAAGAGATGGTACCTCACACAGACTTGAAATGAAATAGGATTCAAACCGAAACAATATTAAGGGACAACTGAGCTATGAAGGATGAATCAAGAAAATGCATGACTTTGATAAAAAGAAGCTGGTTAAAAAAGCTGTGTGTCTTTTTCAATAGTACCTCCTCAAACCCCGCTCTTTAATGTTTGTTTATTTTTGAGACAATGTGAGAGACAGAGTGCAAGCAGCAGAGGAGCAGACAGAGGGAGACACAGAATCTGAGGCGGGCTCCAGGCTCCGAGCTGTCAGCCCAGAGCCCGATGCGGGGCTCGAACTCACAAACCATGAGATCATGACCTGAGCCGAAGTCGGACGCTTAACCAACTGAGCCACTCAGGCGCCCCTCCTCAAACCCTGCTCATAACACCTCCAAAGTCAATGGCCAAGTCCAGTAAAAGAAAAACAGCCAAACATTATAAAGGTTGCTATGAATTCTAGTGAGCTTGAAGAGATGGCTAGAAATCTACTCTCAAGTAATCCTTGCTGAAACCCATAAAAGAGAATGAAGAAAAGTCTAAAGCACATAGGAAGGAATATAGAAAGGAATGGCGGGTTTGAAGACTGACTACAAAGGCAAGAGAGAAGCAGGAAAGAGGGTTTTGCCTCCCACAACTTCTTTCCGTCTCCTCCCCGACAAAAACTCACAATCTGCACCTTAGCTCTTCCGCAGTTCTTTGTAACTCTTAGTCCTTCTGCTAGTCCACTTAGATGGTCACTTTAATCATCTCCTCTAATATTCACTCATCATTGCTGATAATAGTCACCCAAATAACTCCCAGTTGGGAGTTTAAAACGTATATATTAGCCTTCTCTCTTCATAGTAAGAAATGCATCATGTGCTCCATGGATTTCCTTATGGTGTCTTTGGTTCTCTTATCTCCAAAAACCGCTTCCAACTAAATTCTTCATTAACTTCTTGGTTTATTATTCCCAAGTTAAATCTCTCATCAATAAAACCATTTGCCCGTCTTGGCTGTCGAAGTGCAAAACTGGTATTGTAAGACTGGAAGGGGTATACATTAAGTGGTCAAGATTTGAAAAGTATGTTGTAACTAAGAGTTACATTTTGTGATCTGCCTCTACAGATTGAAATCGAGACTTAACTATAATTACTTTGTGATTCTGACTCAGTTCTTTGGACTGGTTAGTGGATCAACAAATATTTACTTCATGCTTTAATAGTAATGTATGTATTACCATACATAATAATAAATGGTATATAAAATTAAATAAGATGCATACCTGAACTCTCTACAGAGGAGAGGATAAATAAGGCGTTTAAAAGAATCATCCAGTGAACTGTGTAAGATCTTCATTAACTCCGGCCTTGCAAAGCCACGTGGTCTCCACCTGCAAAAAAGAAAAGCCTACACTAAAACTGATGGAACAATAACAAGACCATGAAAGGGCTCCTGAAGAGGGGAGAGGAAGTGGAACAGAAGAGGGGGAAACTTTATCGAAGCCAAAGTAACATAATCTGTGAGGAAAGACTGTGATGTCTGGAAATTATTACTATGACATCTGGAGTTCTTATTTTTAAAAACCTGGTAACCACATCCATACATAAAACTTAAAGGAGGAAAAAACTTTCTTATTCTGGGAAGAGTCTCCCGAAGCATTATTAATAATGGTGAAAATATTAAGATATAAAAAAGTCACCAGAAAAAAAAAAAAGTCACCAGAAAATGACTAATGCACTGCTGTGAACTGAATTATGTCCCCTAAAATTAATATATTGAAGTTCTAACCCCCAGTGAGATGTTATTTGGAGATAGGGCCTTTGGGAGATAATTAGGTTTAAATACAGTAGTGAGAGTAAGGGCCCTCATGATGGCATTAGTGCCTTGAAAGAAAAGATATCAGAGAGCCTGCCCTCTCTCCATCCCTCTCTCTCTCCCAGTCAGGTGAGGACACAGTGAGAAGGCAGCAGTCTACAAGCCGAGAAGAGGGTTCTCACCAGAAACCAAATCAGCCTGCACCTTGACTTTACAGTGTCCGGAACTGGGAGAAAATAAATTTCTGTTCTTTAAGCCACCTAGTCTATGGTAGTTTGTTATGGCATCAAAGCTAAGACAAACATGTATCCTCTTTGCCCCATTTCTTTATCTCTTCCTGAGAGAGCAGACTGAGCAAAGGACAAACTCTGTTTTAACTCTTGCCTCTTGCCATTCCTGAGTAGAACTCACTCTACTCCTCAGGCTGTAGTGCTCTACCATGCAGTGTATCTGCACACATGCTGATGGATACAAATGTCAGAGAATCAAATGTTAGTGGACACTGGATAGAGAACAATAAGAGAAAAGCATAAGCTAAAAAGGACAGATTCAGCCTTACTCCTTCTGTGTTTCCATCCATCTAGAGTATCTCTGCCCTTGCCCTTCAATGACTCTTAAATATAAACCACTAATAAATATTTACTTTATAAATAATAATAAAATAAACCATTAATATACCTTAGGGACACTGTCATCTCCCTTACTTATCTCAGGTAGGAAATTAACTAAACTTCAGTGAATAAACATTCAAGAATCAATTATATAGTATACCAAAGATTTCATAATAACTAATTGAATACCTTCCATAGAAGATTATTATCTGAGTAGCATATAGTTTTGTTTTTTAATTTAAATGAAAGTGCTTTCAGGACATACATCTTTCCACACAAATCTCTGTAACTCTCTACTGTCACCTTTATCTGAGGGCATGAGGGGTAGGGAGGAGTAGGATATGAATTGGATACACATAATTAATATTAAAATTAATATTATTATTACTGTTATTATTAATTTGGAGAGCCCAATGTCAAGAAAGATGTCCCAGAAGAAGCATCTGAGATGGGTTTTGAAAAAATTAACTGTGCTTTATCAAACAAGACCCAGAAAGAAAAGCATACTAGTAAGAAACCATAGCATATGAAAAAGCACAGAGGCATGAAAGCACATGATGAGTCTAAGTGACTACAAGTAGATTAGTACTGATAGAGCATAACTGCCAGGAGCAGGTGTGGGGGTAGAGGGGGCTAGAAAACATGGCAGAGCTCAGATCACTAAGCGTCTTACACATCATGCTATGGAGCTTGGCAAGTTAGGAGAGAACACAGTCCTGGGTCATGAGACAATAAGATAGGAAGACAGTCCTTAGAGGCAGGAAGGCCCTAAAGAAAGGTTTTTTTAGAGGTATGTACCTGATATCTGCTGGGGGTCATTCCCTTTAAGGCCAAACCAAGGTTTCCCCATTGCTAGTAGGAAGAAACCAGGAATCCTTAACATTGCCTATCTGATCCTTCTGGAAGCCTCAACAGTCTTCCTTAAACCTTATCTCTTGCCCCCACATCTACTCTGGTTTCCTTCCAAATAATTCCCTATACTGAGCCAGAGTGATCTTAAAATGCAAACTGATCATTATGATAATCCTCTGTTTAAACCTTTTATTGGCTTTCCATTACCCTTAAGATAAAGAAGAACAAAATCCTTCCCTGTCTAGAAAGCTAGGTATGATCGATCCGGCCCATGCCTACAAGTCAATTGTCATTTCATGTTGCTTTTTGTTCCTCTCCTTCTGTCTTTGACCTACATATGCATGCAACCCAGACTCCATTAGGGTTCCCTGTTACAGACTCATGAAACACTGCAGTTCTCCTTTATGACCTCAGCATACCCTTAACCACTTGTCAGGATCTTCTCCATTAAACTATATTGTCACCAAGGACAAACAGCATATTTATCTGTAGCATAAGGCTACAGGTGGATCCCCAGCATCTAGCATATAACCTGAATGGATGAATACATGAGAGAGGTGGACGGTGAAAGAAGAAGGGGCATAGAGAATAAACAAAACAGAAGAGGATGAAGAAGGAAAGATTTGAGTAAGCATCTCCAGTCATTCAAATGTGTTTTAAAAAAAGAAAACAATTCCCTGAGAATGGTTCTTTGGTTCCCAGAGAAATAATTTAGCTAGCTCTTGTTTCGGGTCTTTACTTCCCATAGAAGTGTTTCTTCAATTATCTATATACAGAGAAGCTTCTAGAATGTAACTGAAACATATCACTATACCATAGTAAAGTATTATAGTATAGGTTAAATAATATTACCAATTATTCAATTGAGGAAGAATTGAATAAAATAAAATATAGATGAACCAAGAAAAACCATTTAAATCACTGTAAGGAAACCACTCCTTAACATCTACTCAGTATGAAGATAATAGGCTAAAACCATAACTAATACTTCCTTATTAGGAAGTTGTCCCCCTATTTATAAAAGATATTTCTAAAAAGGAAATATGCACAATAATCCCACTACTTTGTAATAAAAGATACCACTGAAGGCTACACAATTAAATGGACTATCATTTACTTCTCTCAAATATGTGAAAAACGTATTACTTATCATTTAGACAATAATGAAACTGAGAAAGAAATAACATGCTCATAGTCACAAGGGTAAGAAGTAATATAACTGGAATTCAAACTCAGATATATTTGCTTCTTAGAATTTTGGGTTTCTTTGTTTTGTTTTTAAATGTTTACTTATTTACATTTGAGAGAGAGAGAGCCGAGCGGGAGAGGGGCAGAGAAAGAGGGATAGAGAGAATCCCAATCCGCACCATCAGCACAGACCCCGATGCAGGGCTCAATCCCACGAACCATGAGACTGTGACCTGAGCCAAAATCAGGAGTCAGATGCTTAACAACTGAGCCACCCAGGGGCCTCAAGATTTTGTTCTTTCTATGCAACTATCTCAGAGTTTCATCATATTTTAAATTAAAACTATCTAATTTCTTCACACTACTGTTTAAATCTATGATTTCTTTTAGGTATTTACTTCCTTTTTATTTTTAATGAAATTTATTTGTTTACAAAGAAAATAGACATTCACTAAAAAAACACCTACAAAATCCACAGGAGAGTATACAACAGAAAATTAAAATCTCACACCAGAGCTATGGAATAGATCATTTGTATTTTTCCAAAAAATGTTCTTACACACAGACATTTTTTGCCATTAATGAAACCATACTATAAATACTAATTATAAGCTGTCTTTTTAACCCAGTAAGACATGTTTGTATCTCAAGTTCAGCTCTATCTCAGCTCATCTTCAACTTTTCAAGATGGCTGCACAGAATTCCGTGTATGGCTATAACATAATTAGCTTACACAATTTACCTACTGAGTAACATGGAGACAGACATTTCACTTCATGAGTCCTTGGTTAGCATTATTTGGTCATTAAGCAAGTTAATCCTTCATGGAACTGGTTTTTGGCAAAGCGGCTTCCAATGAATTGATGAAAGTACTATGTTGGATGAGAAAGCTAATTTCTAAAGTACACAGTACTGGTTCCTCTCAAAGAAAAATTCATCCGACTCTTCAAATAGCTTTCCCAGCAATCTCCCTAACTTAAGGTTACACAGTACTACATATCCTAACTGCCAGGCAATCTTCTTGACCTTTGTATCAGTTTTCTCACTCGCAAAATGGCAGCTACAAATCTGCTCTACCAACGAACCAGATTGTTATAAGGATCAAATACACTCTGAAAAGGGAAAACTAAAAGTTAGAAGTTCTATACAAACATATGGTGCAATTTTAAAAGGTTCTGTTAACAAATGAAAAAAGATAATAAAAAGTTACATAAGCTTAGAGATTTCTCTGAAATTTCCAATAAATTTAATGTTAACTGCAATCATCTTTACTGTGCAAAATATTTTAGGTAAACTGCATATATAGCTTTAGAGATTTATATTATAATATCTGACAAATTATAGTTTTGCTTCAATTATCCTTAATGATCAAAACATTTCAGATCTGTCATATACAGCATGTTTTTGTTAATTTAGCTTTTCAAAAGAGAAAACACTCTTATTATAAGATTCCAACAGTACAAAAAAGTACTAAGTAAAAATCCCTCTCCCTAGAGATAAGTAATATGAATAATTTATTTAAATACTCAATACAACCTGTTTCCTATTTAAACATACACAACATTTATATTTATTTTAGAAAAGAAAGAAATTCTTTAAAAATCTATAAACAGACCTGTTTTGGATGCACCACCTACAGAATTCATTCTTCACGCCATCAGAAATGTTGACCTTAACAGTCAGTATCTTCAAATTTTCCCCACGGTTAATTGCCAGGATCTGAATGCAAACATATATGGCAAAGACTGATGATCCACAAAATATACAAATGGTCAATTTAATCATTCAACATTTGTGAAATAAAAGAGCAGTTATCCAGTCTAGACCTATATGAATTTTTCATTCATTTATTTACCAAAATGTATTTAAAAATAATCACTTCTTTATATTAAAAAAAATTATTTTAATAAAATACTGGTAAAAGCCTATGACATTCACAGAAAGAGACTTTGGTGATCTAAGAATCTCATTTCAGATTTGATTAACTGAAAATTTTTGATCATCTGGAGTTAAAAAATATATTTTTCACATTTGTGAAAATTTATGGCTGAGATTTACAAACATGCAAATTCCCATGTGGAATAGTAACTACTAACTGTCACCATTTATTTAGCATTTACTAATTGTCAAGTCCATCTAAGCACTTTAAATACTTGCCTCATTTAATTTTCAAAGCCACCAGTGAGGTATTTATTTTCTTCATTTTACATAATAATTTTTCTAAGACTACTCTGTCCCAAATAACAAAGATTACAAATGAAGGAAAAATGTAAATTCAGTTCAAGCTATCTCTTAATGAATATATTAAAAGAGTAATTGTCTCAAAATATATTAAAAACACTCCTTTAAAGAAGAGCAAACAGGGGCACCTGGGTGGCTCAGTAGGTTGAGCATCCAACTTCGGCTCAGGTCATGATCTCATGGTTCGTGAGTTCAAGCCCCATATCAGGCTCTGTGCTGACAGCTCAGAGCCTGGAGCCTGTTTCAGACTCTGTGTCTCCCTCTCTGTCTGCCCCTCCCTGCTCATGCTGTCTCTCTCTCTCAAAAATAAACATTAAAAAATTAAAAAAAAAATAAAGAAGAGCAAACAAACCTAAAGCAAGTAGAAGAAAGGAAATAATATAGAGGGAAAATAAAAAGAGAACAGAAAAATAATAGAAAATAATGCTGGCAAAACCAAAAGTTGGTTCTCTGAAAATGTCACAAAATTAACAAACCTTTTATTAGACCAAGAAAAAAGGGAGGAAGCATTCCAATTACCAAAATCAAAAACAAGAGGGGCCATTACTATTGAAATTAGAGAAATAAAAAAGATCATAACAGAATACTATGAACAACTGCATGTCAAATTACACCACATAAATAAAATGAAAAAAATTCTTAAAAAAACAGACTGCCAAACAGTAAAATAAAAACAGAAAATCCAAAAAGATCTAAATTAAGTAAAGAAGACTGAATTAGTAATTTAAAATTTTCCCACAAGAAAATGTCCAGGCCCAAATAGCTTCACCATAGAATTCAACCAAACATTTAAAGAATTAATACCAATTCTTCACAAACCCTTCCAAAATATACCATAGAAAACTTCCCAACTCTATTTACCCTGATACCCAAACCAGACAAGAACATTGCAAGAAAAAAATTAAGATCATTATCTCTTATGAATATAGACAAGAAAATACTCAATAAAAAAGTAGTAAACCAAATTCATAAATATATAAAAAGGATTACACACCAGGATCAAAAGGGATTTATTCCAGGAATGCAAAGTTGCTTTAACACCCAAAAATCAACTAGCATAATACATGATACCCATAAAATAAAAAACAAAATTACACAATTATCTTCTTACATAATATATGCAGAAAGAATATCTGACAAAATTCCAGCTTTGTTCATGATAAAAACACTCTACAAATTAGAAATAGAAGGCAACTTCTTCAATGCTATAAAAATCACATACAGAAACTCCACAGATAACATCATATTTAATGGTGAAAGACTGGATGCCTTCCCTCTAAGATTACAAGGGTCTACTCTTGCCACTTCTATTTTCAACATTGTACTGGAGGTTCTAGCCAGAGTAATTAGGCAAGAAAAAGAAAAAGAAGACACCTAAATTGAAAAGAAAGAAATATATCTATTTGCAGATAATATGATCTTATATATGGAAAACCCTAAGGGATTCACCATAAAGCTATCAGAACTAAAAAAAGGAGTTCAGCAGGATTTCAGGATAATCACTTTCTGCACACTAGCAGTAAGCATTCTGAAAGTATTTTTTTTTAATTCCATTTACCATAGCAACAAAAGGAATAAAATACTTAGGAGTAAATTTAACAAAGGACATGCAAAACGTAAACTCTGAGAACTACAAAACATTGTTAAAAGAAATTGAAGAAATGGAAAAACATCCCATGTTCATGAACCAGAGGCTTAATATTGCTAAGATGGCAATACTCCCCAAACTGATTTACAGATTCAATGCACACCTATCAAATTCCAGCTAGCTTCTCTCCAGAAACTGACAAACTAATTCTACAATTCATATAGAAGTTCAAGCAACCCAGAGTCAATCTTGAAAAAGAAGAACAAAGTTGGAGGACTCCCACCTTCTGATTTCAAAACTTATTACAAAGCTAACAGTAATCACAACTGTGTGGTACAGGCATAAGGATAGATACATAGCTTAGTAGAATAAAATTAAAAGAGTTTAGAAATAAATGCATATGCCCAGAATTAACTGATTTTCAACAAGGATGCCAAGACAGTTCATTGGGGAAAATACAGTCTTTTCAACAAGTGACGCCCAGACAACTGGATAGCTACGTTCAAAAGAATGAAGCTACAGGGGTACGGTATTTGACTGCAAAAAAAATGAAGCTGGTTGCCTTCCTCACATCATACACAAAAATTGTTCAAAACTGACCTTAGACCTTAACATAAGAACTAAATCTATAAAACTCTTAGAAGAAAATATAAGAGAAAATCCTTGTGACCATGAATTAGGTAAGGTTTTAGATATAATACTACATGAACAATCACTAAAGGAAAAAAGTAAACAGGCTGGACTTCAATAACATTATACCTCAAAGGATACAATTAAGAAAGTGAAAAGAGGGGCGCCTGAGTGGCCAGTCAGTTAAGCATCCAACTTCAGCTCAGGTCATGACCTCGCGGTTCATGGGTTAGGGCCCCACGTGGGGCTCTGTGCTGACACTCAGAGCCTGGAGCCTATTTCGGATTCTGTGTCTCCCTCTCCCTGCCCCTCCCCACTCATGCTGTCTCTCTCAAAAATAAATGAACATTAAAAAAATTAAAAATAAAAAAGAAAGTGAAAAGAGAACACATAACATGGAAGAAAAGTTTTGCAAATCAGTTATCACATAAAAGAGTTAGGTCTAGAACATATAAATAATACTTACAACAAGAGCAAAGACCATGTCACCTCTACACTCCAAGTAGGAACTGATATAAAATAAGCGTTCAAGAAAAATTTGTAGGATAATCTCCATGTTACCTTACACCAAAAAAACACCTTTTCACATCTGTATCATCATAAGTTACAAAAATTAACAGCTGTTATGATGAGAAATATCCCACAAAAAGTAATGTACTCTAGTCTTTTCATTATCCTCTCTTTTAACAGTAAAATGCAGATGGAAGAAAAAACTCAATTTTAAAAATGTTTATAGTGAGCACTTCCAAGTTTGGAAAAACTGGCAATCTCTTGATTCCAAATCTCCCCCTCATCTTCCTATAAGACCTTAATAAAGAGGGACACTTGACTGGCTCAGTCAGTTAAATACCCAACTCTTGATTTTAGCTCAGGTCATCATCTCACCGTGGTGAGATAGAGCCCTGCATCAGGTTCTGCTTGGAATTCTCTCTCTCCTTCTCTCCCTGATCCTACCCCACTCACATGTAATCACTCTCTCTCAAAATAAATACATAACCATTTAAAAATAAAATAAGGAGCGCCTGGGTGGCTCAGTCAGTTAAGCATCCAGCTTCACTCAGGTCATGATCTTGTGGTTTGTGAGTTTGAGTCCCATGTCAGGCTCTGTGCTGACAGCTCAGAGCCTGGAACCTGCTTTGGATTCTGTGTCTCCCTCTCTCTCTGTCCTTCCCCTGCTCGCGCTCTGTCACTCTCTCTCTCTCTGTCTCAAAGATAAATAAAAATTAAAAATAAATAAAATAAAATAAAACCTTAATAAAGAAAATAAAATAACATAGGACCTACATCTATGGCATTTCTAGGAACCAGAACTAGATTGCCATCTGATTTCTCTAAAACAACATACAAAGCAAGACAACAGCGGAGCAACATATTTAAGAAAGTTAAGGGAAGAAAGTGAAAACAAAAAATATACTGATCCAAGCTGTCCATGTAATCAAGCCCATAGGAAACAATTGTGAATGTGTTAGAACTCAGAAAATACTGTTCATATATACCATCCTTGAAAAATACAGAAGAGTAGTGGTCAGTAAACTACCATGGGACAAATCCAGATGAACACCTGTTTTCATAAATAGAATTTCATTAAAACACAACCATGCTCACTCGTTTGTGTATTATCTATGACCGCTTTCATGCTGCAATGACAGCTGTGTAATTGCCGGAAAACCCACCTGGCTCAGAAAATCTAAAACATTTATTCTCTGGTCCTCTACAGAAAAACTTTGCCAACTCTCTATTTGACTAGAGAATAAGCTTCACCCAAAAGAGGACTGGAAAGTTTTGGCAAAAGGACTAAGGCCAGCCATTTCATATAACTGTAGGGATAAAATGGAATCAATATCCATTAAGAAAATACAGGTTGCGGGGAGCCTGGGTGGCTCAGTTGGTTGAGTGTCTGACTTTGGCTCAGGTCATGATCTCGCAGTTTGTGAGCTCAAACCCTACATCAGGCTCCCTGCATCAGTGCAGAGTCTGTCTCAGATCCTCTGTCTCCCTCTCTCTCTTTCTGTCCCTCCTTCTCTCTTGCTCAACAATAAATAAACATTAAAAAATTTTTAAAAAAGAAAGAAAATACAGGTTGCAATCCTGATACCAATGCAGACTTTAAGCTAAAAACCATTAAATGTAGTAAAGAAGAACACTTTATAATGTTAAAGCCACATTCTGGTTTTGGAATAGAGCAAGAGGACTACATATCACACTTTAAAGATGCTGTTACATAAGACATCACTAACATGGTAGAGTAGGGAACTCCAAAAGTCCATCCTACTACAATAGTAATAAGCTGGCAAAAACTGTCAGAATCAACTTTTTCAGAACTCTGGACCCTAGCAAAAAGCTTATAACAACCAGAGGAACACTTAAAGAAACAAGAAGCCACAGAATCTTGGTAAAAGAGCACTCTGAACTTACCATTTGCTCTCCTCCACTCTGTAGATGAGCAGCGGCCATGAAGATAACAGCCTCATTCCTAGGGCAGGTTGCTAGGGCCAGAGGGAGCGACATGGATCATATTCTCAAAAATTTGTGATCTTGTGTTTTGACCTGTTTGATGGCTCCCTGAAGGACAGACTCAAGGGCTGGCCTTTGTTTTGCCTCAGAGCTTCCCCAGGACAGAAGCCATTTCCTGAGTGGCATTTGTTAGAAGTATTTAAAGGCAAATAATTGTGCCACAGTGTTGAGGGGTGAGGGCTAACAGTAGATGTAGGGATTACAGTCAGGGCAACTAACAAACGTCAAAAAAACCTCAATGAAAAAGAGGCTTGAAAATTAGATACTAAAGGGAAAAGAGTCTTTGTAAAGTTCCTGCATAGATTAGAGAATCCGGGAGTCTGCATGCATGCTTGGGACAAGACAAACACTCTGAAAAGACCTTAACCTTTGACAGACCTTTGGGCTCCATGCAAACAGGAAGTGAAAGCTAAGGCAGAGGTGTAAACAGCCTTTCTAGGCCAATGTTGAAGGACAACCCACACACAGCCAATCTGCAAGAACTGGGGAGAGTTTGTTTTTTGTTTTGGCTCCAGGCATTAAGAAAAGCTCTGTCAAATAACTAGCTGTCCACAAAGCTAATGGAACAAATGTCAGTGGTCACACATGACAAAGATGAATACAGATGTTTCAAAAATAATTCAGAAGGCACTAAACGACAACAACAAAAAATCAACAAACCTCCCCACCAAAGGTAGCAGCAATATATACCAAGGATGGGGGTGGGGGGAAGATCTGATTTTCAGTGTTGGCAATGTATAACACTCAGAATGTCAAGTTTTTAACATAAAACCACAAGGCATACAAAGAAACAGTAAAGTATGACCCATTTACAGGGGAAAAAAAAGAAACTGACAGAAACTATCCTTGAAGAAGCTCAGACATTAGTCTTAATTAGACCACTGTTTTAAATATGCTCCAAGCTCAAGGAAATCATGGACAGAGACCCAAAGGGAATTAAGAGAATGCAGTCTCAACAAAAACAGAATATAAATAGAGTTGAGAATTATAAGAAGAAACCAAATAGAAATTCTGAGCCAAGAACTACAATGACTGAAATGAAAAATTTACTAAAAGGGTTCAATAGTTAATTTGAGCAAGCGGAAGCAGAATTTCATCAGCAAACTTGAAGATAGGTCAATTGTGATTTATGAAGTCTGAGAAGAAAAATAAACAAATAAACAGAGTCTGAGAGACCTATGGGACACCATCAAGTATACCAACATACATATAACAGGAGACCCAGGAGAGAAGAGAGAGGCAGAAAGAATATTTGAAGAAATAATGGCCCCAAATTTCCCAGTTTTGATAAAAAAACATTCATCAACACACCCAAGAATCATAATAAATCCCAACAGGGATAAACTCAAAGAGATCCACAGTGAGACACATTATAATCAAACTGTCCAAACCTAAAGCCAGAGAATCCTAAAGAAGTAAGAGAAGTGATTCAATAAGATCAACAGCTGATTCTTCATCAAAACCATGGAAGCCACGAGACGGTGGGATGATAAATTCAAACTGCTGAAAAAAAAATGTCAACCACGAATTCTATATCCTGAAAAAGTTCTGGAGATTGGCTGTACAACAATGTGAATATACTTAACAATACTGAACTGTACATTTAAAAACAGGATGGTAAATGGGGTGCCTGGGTGGCTGAGTCGGTTGAGCTTTCGACTTTGGCTCAGGTCATGATCTCACGGTCCGTGAGTTCGAGCCCTGCATCTCGCTCTGTGCTGACAGCTCGGAGCCTGGAGCCTGCTTCGAATACTGTGTCTCCCTCTCTCTCTGACCCTCCCCCGTTCATGCTCTGTCTCTGTCTCAAAAATAAATAAACATTAAAAAAAAAAGTTAAAAAAAAACAAACCAGGATGGTAAGATTCTAAGTTAAACACATATGTTACATGTATTTTATCACAATTAAAAATATATTTTAAAAAAGAAAGAGAAATTAAGACCTTACAGATGAACAAAAACTGAAGGAGTCTGTCACTAATAGACCAGCCCTACATTTAATTGTTACAGGAATTACTTTAGGCAGAAATGAAAAGACACTGGACAATAACTCAAAAGTATGCAAAGAAATAAAGAACACTGGTAAAAGTACCTACATAGGTAAAAAACAGTAATTAAAATTTCAGTTTGTAAATAATCTTTTTTTCCCCTATGTGACATAAAAGCCACTTTATACACTGTAGAGACAACCTATGACTACAATTAGGAAAAAAATCAGTAAACTGAAAAATGAAATTAAAACACTGAGATGAAACAACTATGTTTATACAACTAAGTGAGATCTCTCACACTTTATTCTAAATCAGAATACCTCTAATTTGTATGTCATATGAAAAAGATCCAGAATTGAGCTCAAATCCAAGCACACTGAGAAGCAAAGTCTAATACAAAAGATCACCAGCCAGAAAGTCAAAATATCTGAAGCAGTGTATTGTCAGCCCTACTAATAATTCTCAATGTTAGCAACTTTTCTGGGTCTTGAGTTACCCCATTTTGAAATGGGAAGGATATGACAATATTATAAGAATTTATATGAAAAAAAAAATGGTTGCCTTAAAAACTTTAATTCCTTAAAAACCAAAGTAGTAGGCAAATTCAAAGTATCATCATTATTATTACTATCAGCATGGATAAGCAGTTTCCTTATTTACCTGATGATGTTGGATGTTTCTTATGTTGCATGAAAAATTCTGGTAGAGCAGAAACTTATCAACGTCTTTCTCATTTACTTTTTTTGAGGACACCTTCGCCAGAGATGACTGGATGCAAATATACCTATTTTGGCACCTGTTCAGATAAATATGCACAAAACAAGCAGTTACAAATATATTTTATTAATGTAAAATTAACAAAAAAAAGTTAAGGCATAGTTATTACTATGCCTTAGTAAAGAAACACCTTTTATGGAAATAACGTTAGCAAAAACTTAAGCCATTACCAAATGAAAATTTTTTAAATGATGCCCAACTATAAAAACGTACTGACCCATCAAAAGAGGACTCTGCCCATTCATGCTAGCATAGGTCCTCCAGAGCTATGTCTATATCAATCCTCCTATAAATGCCTATGTCAGTTCAGATACATCTGGTATCTACAGATATCAGATTGGTAATTCTAGTCTAGATATCTTTCCTAACCACTGAGTGAAGCAGTCAGAGCGCAGTAAAAGCTAAAAAGAAGGGAAACAAGAGGATGTGGTGGGACAGCTTCCAATGACAGGCCAAATTCAGCAGTGTAATTACTTACAAAAACACAATTAAAATCCGGGCAGTTCTCCTTCTCTGACTCATTCCTACTAGGGCCACTGAGGAAATAGGAAAGTTCTCTCCCTTGGATTAACAAAAACCCTGACAAGCGATGGTAGTCACGGGTTCATCTCCCCCTTCCTCTCCTCTGCACACCTCACTCAGCCAGCGATGTGGAGAAAGAGTAAGAGCATAAAGGTTTTTGCTAGAAAACCCTGTCTTGCCTGCTGATAGACAGCTGAAAAATATATTAAAACAGGGTTTTGAGATATCTTTCTTTAATGAGGCATAAAAGCCAAAGGCCCAAGTAGGGCTTAGGTCATGAGGTTTTAATCTCTTATAAATTGGGACTGTGATACCATGGATAAGCTGCTCTCTCCATCAGCTGAAATTCATTTTGAGGTCAACACTTTTATCTTCACCTGATATTAAAGTTAAATGATATTATATAATACATGTATAGTACACACATCACATATGTTCACAAAGCATGCCACCAGCTCTAAATGAACATGGATCTCTCTAGCACACGCTGTGTAACCACGCAATAGTTTTTAAACTGTTCCTCACAGCCCTCCACTGAGGAGTTTCAGTGTAAGGAGGATGAGCAGGCAGAGTTCCAGGCGCCCTGCCTAGAATTCAATTAAAGCAACTTTACTTTTATCTGTTTTATGTATTAGGGCTCTGCTGCTTGAACAAAGAGTTCTGCTACCAAAAAACAGTCCAAAAATAAAGTTTTTAATGAACACTGGTGTTAGCACTAACCATATGACCCTTACCAGCATGAGTCCACAAAGCAGAGAACTCTATAAAAGAGTTACTCACAATTTCCGAATGAAGTCAAGCGTGTCTTTGTCTTTAGCAATCATGTCTGCTAAAATATGCTGCACTCCCGTTTCAATATCCTGGAGTGCTGAAAGTCCTTTAAGAAATGGGTAAGAGGGAAAACAAAAGCAAGAACTACAGATTGGTTTTTTTTTTTTTTAATCTATAATTAAATCACAATAAATTTATTCCAGTCAAAATAAACCCTTAAACGGAAAAACTTAAGACAGAAAAGTATCATAGCACTGACCAGTTTACCTCTGAAAAAAAAGTAACAAGTCTCCAAAGCAAGAATACAGGACCTTTACATACCATATAACCTAATGGTGAAAAATGCAACTCTAGAACCATCTGCCTGGTCTAATCCTAGTTCACTACTTACCAAATGTCTGACTTTGGGCAAGTAACTTGACCTCTCTGTGCCTCAGTTTCCTATAAAAATGCAAAAATAATAGTACCTACTTCACAAAGTATTTACAGAGGTTAAATGTATTATGGGAAATATGTATTAACAGAGTCATAACCTAAGATATACCACCTGATACCACTTAGAAAAATTATCCTTTACAAATAGTAATTTTATTAATATTCCTATTTTGACTTCTGAGGCGTTTATTCACATTTAAAAAAAAATTTTTTTTTTCAACGTTTATTTATTTTTGGGACAGAGAGAGACAGAGCATGAACGGGGGAGAGGCAGAGAGAGAGGGAGACACAGAATCGGAAACAGGCTCCAGGCTCTGAGCCATCAGCCCAGAGCCTGACGCGGGGCTCGAACTCACGGACCGCGAGATGGTGACCTGGCTGAAGTCGGACGCCTAACTGACTGCGCCACCCAGGCGTCCCCGTTTACTCACGTTTTTAATGACCCACTTGAATTTCTCAAATCTCAGGAGCACAAAACAAGAGCTATTTGTGATTGTTCATCTATTTCATAGTTGAACTGTCTACCAATGGTGCGTTATGTTCTTTCTAAGTGCTTCCGGTTTGCTAATTTATAGCAGTGACTCTTGAACATTATAGCCCCTGTGATATCAACTTCCATATACATTGAGAGAAATCATCTGCATTGCCTCCTTCCGTTTCTTCTATCTTAATTGTTCTATCTCCATTAAAGCTTCTTATTTTTTTTGCATTAAAGCTTGAGTTACACAAGCACTAAGTATCATTAGGTTTTTCTGAGAGCATAATTTTAATGAGTAATAGGTACAAAAGACGAAGAGAACAGGAGGACAGACTTATGGAGTCATTAATAAAGAGAAATGCGTTGTTGAGTTTTGTTATAACTAATCTTGAGTAACTACATTTATTTTAAAGGAATTTAACGATTAAAATTAATACAAATTCTGTTTACATTTTAAGAGAATTTCCCCATGAGGGGATTTTCAGGAGTGAATTACCTTTGAGAAGTAGAAGGCTGTTTATGTAAAGGACCTAGAACAACTGTGACATACAGTAAGCAGTCAGTAAATGTCTGTTCTTGGTGAGCTATCTCCCTAGATCAGTCTTCATCTTAGAAAACCAGTCACTATGCAATAACTCCTGGAGTCCCAAACCACCTCACAGCATCATTACACAAAGTTTAATGAGAATACCAGGGTGAGAAGTGAAAAGTGAAGATGGAACCCATCTCCAATAACAACCATCGATGAGAGAGAACAGAAAGAGGAAGTTATAGATTTTGCTATTATAACAAAAGACCTCTGAAAAGCCCCCATCATTTTGGGTGAACACAATTTGTAAAGTTTTTATAATTAATAAATCTTATATAATTAAAATTATGCTAGAGCTCTAGAGCAATGTTTTTATAGTCTAAGGACCCCAGAATACAATCATACTAGGTACTTGTTACAAACACAGATTCCTAGGCTTTGGGACTTTTGTGTTACAGAGCATCCCAGATAATTCTGATACTCATTCAAGTTTAAGGAAAAAAAAAAACAAAAAAAAAACCAACACTGCTGGAGAGGTGCCTTGAACTCTTAGAGCAGTGGTTCTTAGTGGGAGGTAGAAATTATCAATCACTGGACTCATCCAAATTACATAAGCCCTCTCAAGAGAAAAGACTGGAAAAGAGTCTTGTGTGTTTGAAAAAGCACCTTCTTCCATCAGAAAGACTCGGTCATTGGGGCTTAATACAGCCAAGAATAATGTAAGTCCACAAAGGTTAGCACCTCAATGAAAGCAGGAGAAAATAAGGACTACAGGAGTCAAAAATCTTATTTCCTTTCTTGTAGTGAAAGCTTTCCAGCCACAGATTCTTCAAAGCTCCACAAATGTAACAAAAACTGAAGGACCAACATTTCTTTCACTTTATCTGCACTAAGGCTACCTCTTCTGTACAACAGAGCAATCAGCTACTTCTCTTCGTAAACAAAACAGGGATATTCTGGAAATTCTAGGATGTATTCCATTTGTGGCATCTATATGTTTCTGATTCAGATCAAATTCTTGTTGGTCTGTGGCAAGAAGTGTCTTCTACTTCACACTGAAATATCTGGTTTCTTAGACATTTCTTTGAGAAATGATGGGAATGATGAAAATACTTCTTTAGAGAAACAATAAGAGATCTGAGGGTGATCATGAGTCTGTAGATAACCTAAAAGAGCAAAGAAAAGAACACTCCAAGCGAACTTTAAAAACCAGTACCTAGATTGTTTGGAGTTAATTATAATTCTTTGACATTTATGATAAGAGTGAAAGAAAAAGGGAATAAAGCAAACGGGAAGTCCAATACATGTGCTAATACTACATTAGCTGCAATAAGCCTTGACCGATCCGCATTATCAGAAGTATCACCAAGTGTCATCACCATGTAGTCCATGAGCATCACTACATATAGCCACTCAGAGATACAGTTATCAAACCTACCCAGTAGGAATTTAGTATATGAGTGAACTAAAGAAAACTTTGTACCAAAGGAGGTGAAAGGAAAAGAAATCGACCATAAGAGAAAAATAAGAACAGACAACAAAACTTTATGCATCTGATATTCCGAAAACTCCAACATTTGATTCTAAGAAAACCTACTATCACTGGCCAAGAAAGTTCCCACAGTGGCTGACCTTCATGCTTGTCTATACAGTCTCAGCTACTATTAAAACATTAAATTTGCAATCATTTGAAAATCTAACTAAAAAACACACGTTAAAAAAGTAAACAGGGGGGCGCCCGGGTAGCTCAGTCGGTTAAACGTCCGACTTTGGCTCAGGTCGTTATCTCCTGGTCCGTGAGTTCGAGCCGCGTGTCGGGCTCTGTGCTGACATCTCAGAGCCTGGAGCCTGCTTCAGATTCTGTGTCTCCCTCTCTCTCTGCCCCTCCCCCACTCATGCTCTGTCTCTGTCTCAGAAATAAATAAACATTAAAAAATTTAAAAAAAAATTAAACAAACTTCACTTTTACTCATTTCAACCCATCTCTAAACACAAATAATACTAATTTGCTTTTTCTTTTAATTATTGCCTTTTTCGAAACAGAGATTAAGATAAGTGTATTTGTATGTGAACAGACATATGGAGTTTTACAGATACTCATCCTTAATTTTTTAATAACAAACTCACACTGCTGAATTGTTTAAAAGGAACACAGGTTACAGTATGCTAGGATTCTCTACAGTGTAGTAGTACATACTGTGGAATTTCTTATCAGAGACTGCCCCGTATAGACACTTAAGTCTCCCAGCCTAAAGAATCAACAGAAGGCCAAAGAAACTAGAATGAGTGCAGGAATTAGGAGAGCACCAATCTCCCCATCCCATCCTGTCAGAGCACTCCTCCAAAAAAGCCGTGCTTACTCAAAGCTCTCACTCTAGGGTTTATTTTGTCAATAAAACCAATGTATCCTGACATGCATCAGTTGTCACTTTCCTTGGGTTTTTCTTAGAATTCTCTCTCTTACCCTCTTCCCATCTCATTCTCTCTTGTGCACACACACACAAAAGGAGAGGAAGATACACTTCAGAAAAAAGAAACTTTACACCTGGAGAGTAGAAGTGTGGAAGCAGGCCTTCACTTTATAACTCATGTATGTCAGAATCATTGAAATTCTTTTTAAAGAATACATACAACTTTTGTAATTAAATAATTTTTTAGAAACAGAGTATTTTAAAAGATAATATAGGACATTCTTTATAACACTGGGATGTGAAAAAATTATTTAAAAAGGAAAAGAAAGCAATTATCTTAAAAGAAAAGGTTAGCAAAATTGACAAGATTAATAATTCAACTACAATAAAATTAAGATCTATTTTCTTTTTATTTAATAGACAGCATAAAGAAAGTGAAAAGAGAAGTTACAAACTGGGAGATAAGATTTATAATACACATAACTGAGAAAGAGTATCTTAAAAAGTACTTATAAATTAATAAGAAAAGAGAAACAACAACACAAAATAAAAATGGGCAAAAGACTAGAACAGGCACTTCATCAAAAGAAGAAGCTGGATGGCTAAGCAGGAGGTATATGGGGATTTGTTTTATTAGAATTATTTATTCTTTATATGCTATAATATTCTTTTGTATAGTCATTACTTAATGAAATTTTTTTTTAACATAGTTTTCAAATCTGGAAAAAAAGAAAAAGAAAAAGAAACAGGGATGATCTCTTGAAGTAAAGCTAGTACCTTTTACATTGGGTTTAATGTAAGATAGCAGATTGAGCTGCCCTGGATTCTCAAGCAGTGTCCTGGCTGCTCCTTCTAATCCCAACTGCTTTGCTCTCTGGGCTTTAGTGCCTTTGCTCCCAGTTTTATATGGAGCTGACTGCAGGGGGAGGAAAAAAAAAGTCAGAAAATACACCACACCATTCAGTGTTAAAAAGCAAAAGTTAAAATTAAAACACACAATTAGAAGACATGGTGGGGAGGCTAAAGACATCCTTTTCTCAACCCTTCAGAGACAAATTAATACTAACCAGAGACTACTAGCTATACAAAGATGGTTGTTCCTCATCTGATTCTTTATACTTTTCTACACACTTGACATTAGGCATTTATTTGGATTCACTCATCTCAAAAACAGTGCCAGGGGCACCTGGGTGGCTCAATCGGTTAAGCATCTGACTTCAGCTCAGATCATGATCTCGAGGTCCATGAGTTCGAGCCCCGCGTCAGGCTCTGTGCTGACATCTCAGAGCCTGGAGCCTGCTTCAGATTCTGTGTCTCCCCCTCTCTCTCTGCCCCTCCCCTGCTTGCACTCTGTCTCTTTCTCTCTCATTATATATTAAGTAAATATTTAATATGTATTTATTTAAAAAAAAAAACCTCAGTGCCTGGACAGAAAGAACTGTAAGACCCTCTCCTCAACCCAAGGGAGCTCCTCTAAAAGCTGCAAATACACAATGCTTCCACTGCCTAAGGCACATTCACTCCTCGATCTGAGCCATCAGACTTCTCTGCCCACACACCTTGCTGAAAGTCGTAACCCAAAGAACCACAATGATCCCCTAATTACCAAATATACATCTTTCAGTCCTCACCTTGCCAAGCCTCACTGCTACATTTACTTACTTAACTGCTGATCCTTACCTCCTTCTAAGACTCTCTTCCCTAGTCTTCCAAGATGTCATCATCTCCTGATTCTCCTCTTATCTCTCTGACCATTCTTTCCATGTCTCCGTCTTCGGCTCACCCTTCCTCCACCCGTGCTTCAAAAGTTAGTGTTCCTCAATGGTCTATCTTGACCTGCTTAGCCACAAACTCTCCCTGAGTGAAATCTTCCATTCTCCTGGTTATAAATACCAACCACATGTTGAAGACGCTCACAGCTAGGTCTCCAGCTCAGCATTCCCCCTTAGGCTTCCCAATTCAATTCCATAACCTACTTTCATTTGCCCCCCACTTAACTGGAAATGCCTTGGAGACAAGGACTGCATATCACCTATCTTAGAAAACACAAAAAAGCATTTGATAGATATTTATTGAATAAAGAATAAACACCTTGTTGAATTAAATAACGGTGGCTGATGATTTTAGCTTTTTATTTCCAGATCTTTTATAACTATAAAAAGATCCATATAATTATATACTTAGGTAGGTATTATATTAAAAGATTAAAAGAGTTTCTTACCACATGTTCTAGTTCTTCAAAAGTTTTACAGTTCAGTAAGGCTTTTAACAAGCACTCAGACATCTTCCCCTCCTTCTTAATTTTTTGGATTGTACTATGAACCTTCTTTGCAACAGCCCTGAAAATAAAAACTTTCATAATATACAAGACTTCTATGTCAAAACATCCTTTATGAAGCTGTCTCAAACTTACAACAAAGTTGTAGGGGAGATAAAAACATTTTTGCCCTCTGAACCATTTGAGGATAAGTTACCTTCACCCAAATACTTTAGTGTATGTTTTCTATAAACAAGAATCTCCTCCTATGTAACAATATAGCCATCAATCACTTCTTGGCCTTTTGGCTAAGATCAAGTGTAGTACAATATAGCCATCAAAATCAGGTAATGGGTATTGATATATTACTATATTCTAATCCTCAGACCTCATGTAAGTATCACCAAGTATTTCCATAATGTCCATGATAGTGAATTCAGTTAAGAGTGGGTTGTATGTAACTGCCATGTGTCTACAGTCTCCTTCAAGCAGAAACCGTATTTCAGTCTCCCCTTGATTTTTAGAGCCTTGATCCTTTAGAATGTTACAGGCCAGTTGTTTTGTAGAATGTCCTACACTTTTGAGTTTCTCTGATGTTTCTTCACAATTTGATTCAGATGGTCTATCTCTGGCCAGGAATATTGTAATAGAGTAATGCCATGTTCTTATCACTACATCCTGTTAGGCAGCAAATAATTTTCATTTGTACTATTACTTATCACTTTAGATCATTTGATAGTGTCTGTGGGTTTCTCCACAATGCAGGCACTCTATTTCTCTGTAATTAAGTATTTTGTGGAGAGGTGCTCTGAAACTATTTAATTATTCCATTCCTTACTAAACTCTCAATTTATTCACTAATTTATTTATATCACCATGGACTCATGATTTTTTTATAATCCATTACTAACACTTATTTTGATGCTCAAATTGTTACAAATTTGACCAGAAGTAACCTCTTCAAGCTAGTTTCTGTGTTCTTTTGACATGTCCCCATCATTCTGTGAGTACTTCCTTATTCTCTGGCACAAGATACTCCAGGCTTTTACTTTCTCTGCCCCGGCCCTGCAATCAAATGAATAGTACATAGAAACCAAGTTATGGGTGCTAGATGTGCTCACTGCTACTGGGTATCACCACTCAGGCTCAGCATGCATAACACCCATCCATAACTGGTTTCTAAACACAGTTCTCCAGGGGCGCCTGGGTGGCTCAGTCGGTTAAGCGTCCGACTTCGGCTCAGGTCACGATCTCACAGTTCGTGAGTTTGAGCCCCGCGTCGGGCTCTGTGCTGACAGCTCAGAGCCTGGAGCCCGTTTCAGATTCTGTGTCTCCCTCTCTCTGACCCTCCCCCACTCATGCTCTGTCTCTCTCTGTCTCAAAAATAAACGTTAAAAAAAAAAAAATTAAAAAAAAAATAAATAAACACAGTTCTCCAATGGAGAGAGCCAGGATACCACAGAGAAAAAAGCTGATACCAGGAATCGAAGTACAGGTAGGGGCAAAGGCACAGTTGTTCCACCACTTTATGATGATTTTGTACTGTGAATGTACAATCTTATCATTATATTTAGCAACTGAAATTGCTAAAATAATAGAAAAAAGTTAGATGACAATATACATTATTAGAAATGGTTGATGGAAAAAAATTAAATCTACTTATGAAAAAAGAAAAAAAAAAAGAGAGAAGATGGTAAATTAAAGAGGAGGCACATGAGTTCTTCGATTACAATCGATGTATCTTTTACAATCCTGGTAACCCAAGACTATTTTCAGGGGCTGAAGCCCACCAGGGTCATTTTGACAAAAGGCCAATGAACTACTGGTCTTCATATAAAAAGGAGGAAAGGCATCTTTAGAGAAAATTCAGGAAGTTTTTCTTACTATCCATAATCAACCTCTTTCATTCACATTTTTAACAGAGACCATCAATAAAACATATTTTTTACTTTGCAATCTGGCATATATTATATACACATATATAATAAAATTACATAAACATAATATAAATATATATAGTAAACAGTTATATAAACGTATGATAAACAATTTCATAAAACACTATTTACTTTTACTACATAAACTGCATCTTACATTTTCTATTCTTTATTTCATTTTTGTTAAAGTGGTAATGACCTACTAAATTAGTTTCACTACTCCTTTACTGGTAGCAATTAACAGATTGAAAAAGCAGTGCTCCAGGGATAGAAAATGCTGAGCTTAAAAAAAAATGAAGACCATAACTTGTTACCAAATCTCTATATAATATAAAAAGATCTTCCAAGCCCCAGTCAATGCTCTCACTCACTCAGAGAACTATTCTTCTACTAATATTCAATATATTTCACTATTAATAGATACCCAGAGAATTAACTCTTTTGCAGAAGTTATTCTATAAAGAAAAAATAATAATAATCTTGACATAAAGTTTCCATTTGTTCCCCATACAACCAAATATTATTAGAATACCTTTAATTTTTAAAACAAACTATTCTTGTTTGTGACACTTTCCCCAACTTCAGATCCCCAAATCCTCAGATTTTCCTCATTACCTTGCCTTCACCTAAATAGAAAGCTTCAGAATTTATAAACTACTGGCCTTCTACATGTGGCCTGTAGATGGTTTTGTTTGACCCAGAAATTTTTTACATAAAAACTCAGATTAAGGGTTCTTTTAAAAAATAGGACAAGCTGTCAAACTGGGTAGACAAGTCTGCATGTCAGTAATCTGCTGGAGTAGAGGGGCAGCAGTTAGAAGTCTGGGTCTCCAGTTCATATCCCTTGATGCCTTATTATACTAACCTGGTCCTAGAAGACTTGAATCTGATTAACTAGTCATTTATACCACTGAGTTGGCTAATTCATTTGCCTCTCAATGAAATGTAACTCTCCACAATTAGCATTTTAATCCTCCTGGCACTAAAAGAAAGTCAACAAAAGATGTAGAAATAAATGCTAGTGAGTTGCAAGTTCCCCTGAAATCACAGGAAGGTCATTAGGCTTGTTGTAAAAATAACCTTTAGCACTTTTAGAATGGCTTGCTGGTAAGACTATATACCTTGTCATAAAGTTGAAGAACACACCCACTGATATCACAGTGGCTGGCATGTAAGAGACATGCAATAAATGCAGAAATGGTGAAGAGTGTTTTAATAAACTCTACTAAAAATTACAGTTAATCTGATAGTCTTTGTATGCTTATTTCTGAGTTATTACAGTAAGACCAGAGTAATAATTTTTTAAAGGGTGCTTTTCATTCTATAACCACACAAAACGTAAAACCCATTAATATCAAACTACCATGCCCTTTAAAAGAACAGAAAAAGGAAATAGACATATTTCCCACCAAACTCTATACTGCCAAAAAATCTCTCCATTTAGGGATTTTATAGTTTTAAGAGGGAAGTTTTAAATAAGCTGTTGAAGATTCAGACTAAAATGTACTTTTCATTTGTACTATTACTTATCACTTTAGATCATTTGATAGTATCTGTGGGTTTCTCCATGGTGCAGGCACTCTATTTCTTTGTAATTAAGTATTTTGTGGAGAGGTGCCTTTCTCCTTTTGTGGAGAAGTGTCCTTCCTTTGCCGTTATGCACAGTCATTTCTGAGAGAATATGAGGTCAAACTCTCAGGTGCACACTTTTAATGCAAAGCTCCTTTCTCCCCATGTGCACTCAAGCTATGCACAAACACTCCAGCAGAGGGAGTGCACACCTAAATAAGGAAAACAGCTGACTTTTCTCTGTCAGAAGATGACTATATTCAGACTATTCAAGAAAATAAAACAGCCTAACTGCTGAAATACGCTGCCATTCACTTCCTCACTGTTTCTCCTCACTGGGTCATGGGCTCTCTTTCCACTCACAGTACATTCATCCCTTCCCAGGTTTCTTACCGGAGCTCCTCTAGGGTTTGTCGAACTTCTCTCAAGGAATCAGCATCAAGGTTATTAATGAGTTCTTTTCGATACCGTATAATGAAGGGAATTGTGTTATCGTCATTAAAGAGACGAATAATGTTGGCACAAACCCAAAGTTCAATATTAGTTCTCTCAGATAAAACCTGCAAATTAAGGATACGTAGTTATTTAAAATTCTGAAAATTACACATCTATATTGTAACGTATGGTTTAAATATAGCATGAAATAATCGTTCTCCAGTCACTTAGAAACTACTTGCTGTGGTTTAAAAAAATACACATATGTACTGGCAACCATAAACTAGTCAGTTTACTAATTCAATAAAATCCAATCAAAGCCACTCTGTAAACAAGAGTTTCTTTCTTTCTTTCTTTTTTTTTTTTTTTTTTTTTGTTTCTTTCTTATTCCAGCCAACATCATCTTCCACCATAGAAAGCCTCAGGATTATTATGGCTATCTCCTCCAACAACACCTTCTCATTATGTAGCAGCCATGCGGCTTGAGAGCACTTGACCTCAACTCTACCTTCACAGCATTTTGTCCACAAATATAACACAGTTGTTTTATAACTGACAGCCAGACGGGCGCCCGGGTGGCTCAGTCGGTTAAGCATCCAACTTCAGCTTAGGTCATGATCTCGCGGTCCGTGAGTTCGAGTCCCACATCAGGCTCTGTACTGACAGCTCAGAACCTGGAGCCTGCTTCGGATTCCGTGTCTCAGTCTCTCTCTGTCCCTCCCCCACTCATGCTCTGTCTCTCTCTCTCTCTCTCTCTCTCTCTCTCTCTCTCTCTCTCTCTCTCTGTCAGAAATAAATAAAACATTTTAAAAAAATGACTTTTATAATTGACAGCCAGAGTGTGGCCAGAAAGATTAGTCCAGTCAGCATATAGCTCAAAATCTAGGTTCAACTCCGGACCCAGGTACAATTTCTTCTTCTGGAGAAACACAGCTTGTACATGTTAAGACTCCTGAAGCTGAGGATGGCAGCGCTAAGATAATCGTGGAAAGACTGTTTCAGTGCAATGACCAAACTTTCTTATTATACAGGTTAATAAATCTTCTTTATTGCTTAAGCTAGTTTGAGATGGGTTTTCTCTTATTGCAACCAAAAGCATTCTAATCAATGTCCTCAGTATCGCTGTGTGTTCTCTATCATGACCATCTCATCTGTCACCAAGGAAGCAAACTGAACTTCTAAAATGTCTTTTCTTTCCTCTCGAGTTCCCTTTCTGCTAATATCATTATTTTATCTGAACCACAGGGCAGTTTTGTTTTCTATGCCTTCCACTCAGCCTCTGCATTACTGCTGATATTTCTATGCATTTTTTAAATGTTTATTTATTTATTTTGAGAGAGAGAGAGAGCGCGCGCGCACACATGCAAGTGCATGCAAGCAGGGCAGGGACAGAGAGAGAGGGGGAAACAGAATCCCAAGCAGGCTCTGCACTGTTAGCACAGAGCCCAAGGCAGGGATCCACTCCCACAAACTGTGACATCATGACCTGAGCTGAAATCAAGGGTGGGACACTTAAGCAACTGAGCCACCCAGAAGCCCCTGATTGTATTTCTAAAACATAGACATAATGAATTCTGTATTTTTTTCTCTTTTTTTTCTTCTGAACACAGGCTCCAATGACTCTTATCTACCTACTGGTAAAAGTCCAGCCACTGTGGCACAGTTTTAAAATCCCTTCCCAAGTGTGGTTCCAAGTATCACTATTCTAGGGGTGCCTGGGTGGCGCAGTTGGTTAAGCGTCCGACTTCAGCCAGGTCACGATCTCGTGGTCCGGGAGTTCGAGCCCTGCGTCAGGCTCTGGGCTGACGGCTCAGAGCCTGGAGCCTGTTTCCGATTCTGTGTCTCCCTCTCTCTCTGCCCCTCCCCCGTTCATGCTCTGTCTCTCTCTGTCCCAAAAATAAATAAATAAATGCTGAAAAAAAATAAAAACAAATAAAAACAAATATCACTATTCTAAAGGAGTAAACAATCTAGAAGGGAGAACAAACGTTAATGTAAATAAGTACAAATAAAACAGGATGTGCCATTGATATAATGTTTTCAGAAAAGAGAAAGGTAGTCAAGAAAGACTTTCTCCAGGGGTAGTATTTCAGCTGGCCCTTTCTTAAAAGATAGGCCAGATTCTGAAAGATAGATTGGAGAAATGAAAATGACCAAAATATTCATTATTTTGGAACCATGTGATTGTTACAGCAACCTACAGGTTCCCACTACCCTAAACTACCTCAGCTACCGTTAACTGAAAGGGGCTCCAACTCAGTCCAACTTCCACATCTGGGTCATACTAGGTCCTAACAAATCCAGAAGCATCATATGTGTTAAGGGAGTGTATGCTGCTGCTTGTATAGATTTGCTCCTTGAAATTTAAGACAAGAGAACTCCCTCCATAAGCAGTCACCACGCTTGGGCCTCCAATCACCCAATTTCTTCTGTCTTAATTTAATCAAACGTTTATTTTATTTATTTTTTTTTTAATTTTTTTTTTTTAACGTTTATTTATTTTTGAGACAGAGACAGAGCATGAACGGGGGAGGGGCAGAGAGAGAGGGAGACACAGAATCAGAAGCAGGCTCCAGGCTCTGAGCCATCAGCCCAGAGCCTGACGCGGGGCTCGAACTCATGGACCGTGAGATCGTGACCTGAGCCGAAGTCGGACGCTCAACCGACTGAGCCACCCAGGCGCCCTCAAATGTTTATTTTAGCTCATGTTATATGCCAATAACCATACCAAGCCAGTGAAAATCAAATGTAAAAAACCAAGTCCCTCTTCCCAAGGAGCTTACAAGCTAGAAAGAAGACAGACAAGTTGAAATATAGTGTGATCTGTACTCTGACAGAAGCACATATGGATTGTTTTAAGAGCAAACGAAAGGTAGAAACATCTAACTCTGCAGCGATGGAAAAGCACCAAAGAGAATGAAAGTATCTCCAGGCAGCCAATAGGGGCAGGAATTCCAGGAAGAGAACAGCATATCAAAAGCCACTGATGAGAAACCACTGCACATTTTAACACTGCTGCAAGTTCAGGGGCGCCTGGGTGGCTCAGTCGGGTGAACATCTGACTTCAGCTCAGGTCATGACTCGCGGTTCGTGGGTTTGAGCCCACATCGGGCTCTGTGTTGACAGCTCAGAGCCTGGAGCCTGCTTCGGATTCTGTGTCTCCCTCTCTCTCTGCCCCTCCCCCGCTCATGCTTTGTCTCTCTCTCTCTCTCTCTCTCTCTCTCAAAAATAAATACACATTAAAAAAATTTTTTTTAATTGCTCTAAGTTCAGCAATGCTAAAATGTACAAGGGGTATTGAGATGAGGTGAGAAATGGAAAGGTGGATGGAGATAGGGGACGAATTCCATATAGGTTTGAACATTATTCTATACTCAACAGTAACCCACTCAATAATGATCTGCTCATTACTGAATTGCAGTTGTTGAGTCAATCCCCCTATGAACCCTGTGACATTTACGAGTCAATGAGATCTGTGGACTAGAGCAAGTGGCTCACAATGTGTTGTCCCCAAACCAGTAGCATAAGCATCACCTGGGGACTTGTCAGAAATGCAAATTCTTGAACGCCACCCAGATCCACTGAACCAGAAACTCTGAGTGGGGCCCAGAAATCTGTGTTTTAGAAGAACGAGGTGAACAACAAAGACATAACTAAAGGAGTTAAAAGCAGAGACCAAACCTTAGGGATAGGTAGGGGTAAGGCAGAGAACTACTATAGTTTTTACTTTTAAACTATTCACATTTACTAATATCTAATAATGTTTATAGTTAACTGGTGGATAAGACTGAGAGTAAAGTAAAAAGGAAGGCAGTCTCAAGATTTTTTTCAACCCTAACACTTAAATAATAGAAGCACCTTTTGTGACTGTCATTTGAAGCTAACACTTGAACAGGGCTTATTATGTTCTAAACATTTTCACCTATTCAGCATTAATTCAAATTATATGATAGGTATTAGTGCTCCCATTTTAGCGACAGAAAACCTGAGGTCCAAAAAAGTTAAATTGCCTAAAGTTCCACAAGCTATATTACCTTTTCAAAAATCTGATGTGTGCAAAGGCAAGATGATTTTTTCAGGCAAAAATATAAATTAATCAAACATCCTCACTTCTCTTCCTGAATCCCACTAGAGATGAAACATGGTGCCTTCATACTGCCCTCTGGTGTCTAAAACTTCCAACAAAATGGACTTCTCCCAGTGTCCTGAGATTTACTTCTCCAAATCTATATTCCCATTCCCTCAGTTAAAAAAGAAAACATCTGGGTATCAACAAACTATAGCTTTAATCACCTGGGCAGCATCTACATTTTAAAAGAACGTCTAAATTAAATTCAACCCTAATGAGAATTGAGAGATGCAATTTTCTACTCAAAATCATCCCCAAATCAGCAGTTGGACACCTCCTTTCTGAAAAGCTTTTGATTCCTGCTGTTCTCTTTACCCTGGTCTATTTATTTTTATTATATCACTTATTTTATCACACACAGGAGCTTCCTTAAAGACTGCAAAAGGAAAAACTATGCTGTTATAATCAATAGTGGTTATAGGAAAGACGACAGGAGACTGGAAAACCATATAGAGTACTGTAGGATGCTGGTAAGGTTCTGTTTCTTGAACTAGAAGCTTGTTACATGGTCACACATTCAAATATTCATGAGCTATACACTTAAGTATGATTTTCTGTATACATACTTCAAAAAGTTTTTTTTTAATTTTTTAATGTTTTTTATTTTTGAGAGAGAGAGAGAGAGAGAGAGAGAGAGAGAGAGAATGAGTGGGGGAGGGGCAGGAGAGGGAGACACAGAATCAGAAGCAGGCTCCAGACTCTGAGCTGTCAGCACAGAGCCCGACATGGGGCTCAAACCAACGAGCAGCACAATCACGACCTGAGCTGAAGTCAGATGCTCAACCGACTGAGCCACCCAGGCACCCTTCAGTTTTTTGGGGTTTTTTTAAAGCCCATCACAAATACCAGATGAATTAAAGAAACAAAAAGGGCTAATTCCATTGTTGTACTGAATCTCTCCTGGAACAACAGGTAACCTAATGGGTGGTGTGTGCTTATGTGCAAAACTACAGTGAAAAAGCCAATTTAGAGACACCCACCTCCTTCCTGTCCCCCTTCTTTCCCCAGTTTTGTCATCCCATCATCCTGATCATTTCCTGCAAGAAAAATGGCTAATAAAGAGGGTTGGCTTGCTTTTCCTACCTAATTTAGCAAACTTTACTAATATATTACATGTGGCTGTTCTACTCACCTACTTCCAGCCCCCTCAAAATAAAGAAACTATATAATAGCAATCACCATTTTGAAGCATTTAATTTTTCTCAAAAATTGGTTGTAGTTAGTCACCTCTTCAAACTCTCATAAAGGTCATGGTGTTTATATTATATTTGCATAATGATATAATGTGTTTAACAAAAACCAGTTTCTGATAGTGACCACACATTTGTAGTTTTGGGGAAAGGGCTGAAGAATAGGTTGCTTCTGCTCAAGGGATCCAGAGATCCCCAAAGCCTGATTAAGAAATGGACACAAAGTATGTTTCTAATGAAGTCTATAAATAACTTAAGTACTTAAGTAATGGCAATGCAGTTTTCCGTCCCCAAACAAGATGGTGATGTCCTGAAAACTCAGTGGACTTTTCAGAGTTGAGACACACACCACGAAGGGAAAAAAACAGAAGGTCATGGTGTCATGGTGGGCAGGAGCCATGGGGAACAGCACACAAAATGAAAGAAATATAAAAGTTCAATTAGTAATGATTAATAATCTCTATATAATTAATTTCCATTGACCATTCCTTACTAAGTATTTTTCAGGATTTCCCAAAGACCTTGGCCATATATTGTGTCCTGTGGCAGATAATATGCATATCAAAGCCATTTCAATGAGTCTGGTCCTCACCCACAGGTTCAAGGCCTTCCTGATCATCAGACTCAGCACTGGTCAATCTCACTCTTCTCAATCCCCTCTCCCCTAACACCTGCCACTGTTGTCAACCATGTTTGGAAGCAGGAATGCAGTGCCAAGATAAAATTATTCTCTGCTGCTTATGGGGGAATAAGAAAGGAATGAAAAAGATCCATATATATCACAGGAATTGTCTGAAAAACTAACTCAGGGTTGGACAAGGATGACTACATCTGGTTAAACAAAAAACCCAAATGCAAATCACACCTGAAGTTCCCCAGGCAACCCCTAAACCCACCTAGAAAATGCTGAGCTTACTCATTGTCAGGGTGCTCAGTGAAGGTGGCCGCTGTAGCAACCACTTCTCCTAACTCACAAGCAAGGAGTGCCAGATTCCAAGGACACGCTTGTTTGAGCTGTCAAAAATCACTTCCGACAAGGGAGGGGAGGAGAAAACAATGCTTGGAATTGAAAGGAAAGAGAGAGAAGTGAGAAAGTATCTTCCTCAAGTCCTCATGGTTTTCCAATTTCTGGTTCAAGGCCTTTAGGAGACTTGATCACACTTTGTCCCTTACATTCTTTGACAGACCTCGGTGTTCTTGGTAATAAACAAACTCTTTTCATTTTAAACTCATTACAAGTAGTTTTGTATTATTTGTAACCAAGAGACAACTGGGTAAGGCAGGACCATTTTCTTCTCTTTTTCTGTTACATAGATTAGGGGATGGGTGTGAAGCAAGATACCACAGAGTAAGGAGCCCTTAATTTTGAAGAACTTACAACCGCACTTCAAGAGACTTCATCGTCTTTGAAACCTTCCCCCCCTCCCTCCCTCCTGCTCACTGTCCACTACTAGAGGCAGATCTGTGTCAATAACAGAAATAAGCTTGTAAGTGTTAGTGAAAGGAAAGTGGGACATATCCACCTGTCCCTGTGAGTCTGGACTGGAACTAAGCAAGGAGTCTGCATTTTAAGAAAGTCTTCACATGAATCGGATACAGGTGGTCCATAAACCATCCTTTCAAAACATTTCTTTGTAGGCTTAAGTGAATAAAGATGGCATACAAAGGAGCCTAATTATACACTGTTTCTCCAAGAAACATTGAACTATTTAGTTGAGGAACAAAGATGAGAAGAAAACTCTGAGGCAGCATCCTATTCCTTAGTGGACCAGAGAAAAGAAAAATCATAATTAAAATTACTGGCGACGTTCGACTAATAGGTAATAGAAGAGACAGCATGGGTAAAAAAAAGTTCCTCTGAAGAAAAAGGTAACCCACACACAGTCCCAGGCTGAGAAGCCAGCAGAGGCCCCAGGATGCAGAGCAGTAATTCACAGAAGCAGAAGAAGTTACATCAGAATCACCACAAGACAGGTAAGAAAGAGGGAGGTCATGCCCATCTACCCGGATGGGCACTGCCATAATTAAGTTTGAAATGTCCCCCAGAGTGTGTTGGCACACATAGAAGGTTGAGAATCACTCTTTAAAAGTCACTCTTCAGGTCTTCTCTGCCATCCCCAAAGCCAGTCAAGAAACTGGGAGAAGTCAATGGCAGCTCAAGTTGAAATTCAGATAGAATTTTCCTAAGAAATTTCTAGGCCTTGTTTATAGTATATTACAACATTACATTACGAGTTAGAGATGTACTAATGGCTAATGACCTAATCACTCACCTACTTTTACAGGGAAACACAGGCCAAGTTCAAAACAAAAACTTAACAATTAACTTTTGAAGGCCCAGTCTGTTGGTACAATCTCTCTATAAAGTGCATGTTCACTCCAACACCATGGCAGAGACCAACCTTGCCTGAGGTCATAGCTCGTAGTTCAAGAGCTGGCGATGATGTGATGATGAGTGCTATAATACACAACGGCGTACCTGGGACAGGAACCAGTGCCCAAAGCCTCCGGAAATCACTGGCAAAACAAAAGAGAACTAAAAACTCCCAACCCTTTCCTTAGCCAGTGCCACTCCTACTTAGTGAAACAGAAAGGAATCAAATGAACTAAAATGCCAGAAAGCAACTGCACATACCTGTACTATGTCCCAGTTCATTTCCACCTCCTCCTTAATATTGGTGGCATTTGCTGGAAGCCTCACAGGCTGCCCTTGGGGACATGTTTCCGTCTTCATTTTCTTTAAAGGGGACTGACCAAATGTAAAGTCATCTCCATTCTCTTCCTTCTTGCACGCACCTTCCCACATGGTGCTTGTGGATGGCATCTCTGCAGCCTCGTGCCCACTCTCCAGGGTGCTGGCCCTGTTGCCTTCTTCATCAACTTTTAGCTTTTTGGTCCTCTGACCTGAAGGTGACTGAGCTGAATTTTTCCGTTTTGTCTTTGCTGTTTTCAGAGTCTGCACAGTATCCAACTTATTTTTTCTGTCTTCCAAATCAACATCAGCAATAGCCACAGAGTTATTCTATCAAATGGTAAATAGAACACATGAGAATTAAAAGAGAAAAACTGAATGCTCTGGAATATTATTCAGCAATAAGAAGAAACAAATTATGGTACACACAATAGCTTGGAAGAATCTCAAGGAAACTATGTTGAATGGAGGCGGGGGGGAAGGCAATTGCAAAAAGTTACACACTTAATAATTTTACATAATATTAATGATTTATGATTTATATAACATCCCCCCCAAAATTAGTGGTTACTGGGTGTCAGAGACTGGGGTAAGGGTCAGGAGACAGGTGGATGCAGCTACAAAAAGGCAAATATTGGGCAATACTAGGGATCCTTGTAGTGATGGAACTGTTCTGGATGGTGGATACACATAGGCATACATGTGATAAAACTGCACAGAACTAAACATACAGATATACACATATAAAACTGGAGAAATCTCATAAGATCCCTGGATTTTATCAATGTAAATATCCTGGTTGTAATATTTTACTATCGTTTTGCAAAAGGTTATCACTGGAGGAAATTAAAGGGTACACGGTCTCTGTATTGTTTTTTACAACTGTATGTGAATCTATAATTATCTAGAAATAAAAAGTTTAATTTTTAAAAATTAGTAAAGGATAAGTTTACACGTGCTGGAAAAACCAAGATTTAAAACCTACAATCAAAAGTCAACTCTTTGGGGGAAAAAAGTAACACTCACACACTCATAAAACTCAACAGGCTATACCTGCCACCAATTTATGCAGGCTAGGGAAGAGAAAACATGGCATGACAGCAGAGTAGTGCCAGGAGTTTTTCTTTAGGACGAGTCTGAGTAGCAGTCCACCCTAGTGTTCAGGGGCTACTCTCTCAACCGCCCCCAGCCCTCGTGACAGCTCAAGTGTGAAGGAATGATACCTGGCATTCATTTTGGCAATGGAGTGGTAAATAACATATAGACCTTGCCTGTATGGAGTTTACAATTTCACAAGCTAGCCTGTTTGGGGTTGCCTAAGTGATGCAGATGGCACAAACTCAACCAAAGCAAGAATTCCCAAACTATTTTTCAGTCAAAATCCAATTCTCTCTCCTTTATCAAGTATTTTTCCAGAGTTCCTGACTACTGAAAATACTGGAAACTACAATAAAGAGCACCCCTCCCACCACCTAACCTGGAAATGATGCAGCCCTCTGGGTATTACATTTTTAGCTGCAACATAATGGATAAGAACAGAGATATAAAAATAGAACAAGTCCTAGGTCCATAAGAGTTGATAATAACTCTGATCATATGACTTGACATAGCAAAAGAAAGAAGGTGTCAATCATACAGAGGGCTGTCAGCCACAGAAGAGAAGAAAAAGAGGAACTGTAAAAAGCAAATATGACCAGCATTCTTCTAAGCAAGGTGCAAGGAAGAGGAAAGCTTAGCATACAGATTCTGAGTATTTTGGTCCCAATGGTAAGAGAGCCCTCCTGTGAGATGGACAGACCAGACTACCTTAGATATGTGCATTTAAAACATTTGATGTCATTGTGACAAACATAATACCTAGGCCACAGTAGGCATTCAATAGACCCAAAAGAATGGATTTATCTAATTCTCCCAATCTGAATCCATGCTCATCAAGTAAATTTCTGATTCTCATTTAAGTGCCTACTTACTTCAACCTCTGAGGAGTGATGATACCAGTCAGAAAAATGTCATTAATTATTAAACCACTCTTATGAGCACGGCTGATGTAAAACCACCCAAGAGGGATATACTGTTTCCTGAAATGCTGACAAAATCATGTTGCTAACTTAGAAACCCAGTTCCAGGGGCGCCTGTGTGGCTCAGTCAGTTAAGCATCCGACTTTGGCTCAGGTCATGATCTCAACAGTTCATGAGTTCGAGCGCTGCTTTGAGCTCTGCATAGACAGCACCAAGCCTGGAGCCTGCTTCAGATTCTGTGTTTCTGTGTCTCCCTCTCTCTCTCACACTCTCTCACACCCTGCTCACACTCTGTCTCTGTCTTTCTCTCTCTTACTCTCTAAAATAAATCAAACGTCAAAAAAAAAAAAAAAAAAAAAACCCCATTCCTATGACTTATGTTACCCATGAGCAAGTCACTTAGCATTTCTCACCTTGGCTTTCTCATCTATAAAGTCAGGATAACAACAGCATCTGCCTCAATGGGTTGTTGTGAGGATGAAGTAAGCTCATACAATTGAAGTGCTGATCATGTTGCCTCGCTAAGGGTAAGCACTAAAATATCTGTGAACACCACCACTACCACACCTAGACCACCTCCTAGGAGAGGGAAAAGGAAGTCGACAAAAAAACGAAGAAAAAGTAAAATGACTAAGAGGAAAAGAAGAAAAGTCAACAGTCATAAAGACCCTTAAGGGTAGCCTCTCTGGAGTCTTTGGGTAAGACTTACCTAGTGTTTCTCAGTGTTGTCCATGGACCCCTGGGGGCCCTGAAGCCCTTTCAGGGGGTCTATGAGATCCAACTCCATTCAAAATAACGCTAAGACATTATTTGCCTTTTTTTTTTTGACATTCACCGATGGTACCAGAGCAATGTTAGCAACACCCAAAGGCAATGACACAAAGCAGTACTAGCAATCACCGTTCCCTTCACAGCCACACACAGAATAAAACAATGTTGAGTTTCACAATGCAGTTAAAAATTACTAATTTTTAAGGTTTCATTCCTTGAAAACACACCTCTTTAATCCTCTATGTTGAACTGGTCAGTCCACGTAAAGCACTTCTGCTGCATGCGGGTGCATACAGATGTGTACCGGTCGTCTGGAGCAAAGCTCTCCTGCACCTGTGTCAGTTGTGAACTGAACTGGCTTCTTTTTCCATACACCACCATGTTTACTTGAAATAATGACTGACAAGTTATGGATTTTCAGACTTGGGATCTGGCAGACATTTTCTCATAAATGAACTGAGACTGTCACTGTAAGGACACACCTGACATTTGCAACCAACAGTAAAATTCAAGATTTAAAAGCGAAAATTAGGATTTTGAAAAATTTGTATACACTGTGAACTTGACAGCTTCCCAACACTGTGATGAGACTGGTGATTATATTAATAAACGTAACATTTTATCATCAGATAAGGAAAGATGCTAACATTTGGAGGATCTGCATAAATTAGTGAACCGATATTTTGCAAAAGACTGATTTACTTTATGTCACATATTCATGCATGGGTGGAAGATCCATCCAAATAACACAGACCAAAGGGCTTTAATGTAATCGTCTAAAAAAATTCATTAATTTGATTTCAGATTCCACAATGAAACAAACTTTTAAGAAACTACCACTTCCTAAGTTTTGGTACTGCATCGAATAAGAATATCCACATTTATCTGAAAAAAGCTTTTAAAACACCTCTCCCTTTTCCAAATACGTATCTGTGTGGAGGCGGGTGTTCTTTATACAATTTCTGTCATATTCTAGTAAGTCAGACATCTGCAAAAATGTAAAACAGTGCCATTCTTCTAATTTTTTGTACTTGGTTGGGAAAATATATACTTCTTTTTCACGAGAGTGTTAGTTGCATAATCATATAATAGGTTTATTATTTTTAAATTGACCAATATTTTAATTTCTCATTTTAATTTCTCATATGGTAAATATCAGTATCAAAAACACACATAACCAAAAGTTCCTTGTGGTCATCAGTAACTTTTAAGAGTGTAAAGGGGTTCAAAGACCAATAATTTTGAGAAATGTAGATCTAAACTATCAAAAACATAGGGAAATATCTCCCCATTTTATAAGATTCTATAGCCTGTCTTAGTGACATACTCAAGTTTAACATGCCTCCATCAGAACATTTCCCTCCTTATATTCAACCTCAATCTCTGGCAGACTGAATAATCAAAGCTCATTCTCTTCTGCCTTCACTGGTTTTTTCAATCAGCCTTAACACTCCAAATGGTTGTTATGTAGCCTATGACTAAATCCAAGAAAAATCAGATCACTCTTCTTTTTGCTGTCTCCGTAAGTAGTAAACTAAGGTAAAAATGTGGCTTATTGTGTCTTTTCCAGTCAAATCAGTCAGCAGGCCTTGGCCTTGCCTCGTGTTGTACTGTGTGAGCTTGTCAGAGAACTGGAGAGGGATAAGGAGTCAAGGGGACGCTTCTTAAAAATTAGACTTTAAAGAGCATTTTTACACTCTGTAGCAACTGAGCCACTGGAAGAAAAATTGACAAGAAAAAAGAAAGGGGATGCCCAACGACACAGACCTTGATCCAGAGGAGATGGCATTGACAGCCCCAGCGGTGGGACTAACTCTGGATAGGAGGGATGACATTTCCTTCACTGTAACAGGACAGTGAACACAAATATAGCTAGCCCGGTTGTGAGACAACAAGAAGCTCCAAATATTGTCAAATATGCAAAAGGCAATGTCATCAGCTGAGAGGGAAAGAGGAGGAAGAAATTTAGGAAGTTGAAGAAAAGAGAAAAAATTGGAAAAACAAATCTGCCAGAGGAAAAAAAAATGAGTCTACCAGGTATTTTTAGTGTAATTTTGAGGTCTGAGATTATGAATTTAAAGGAAAACAAATTAGGTCCAGGCCATTTTCAGCAACAGTCAGCTGCTCAGTGCTGGCAGAAGAGAGGCAATGGCTCACCCAGTGTCGGGTTTGATCAGCCACGTGTAATTGAAGGCAAGAAGGGCAAAACTGGTGTGACTAATAAAAAGTGATTTAAATGAGACACTATGTAGTCTAGACTAGGTAAGGCAGGAAAAGGGCTGACTGGCAGTGATCTGTGATGCAGATCTGGGTCATGGCTCGCAGCCCTGGCTGTCCACAGAAGTCACCTGAGGAGCTTTAGGAAAGTAATACCACGGATGCTCAGGTTAACCCCAATTCTTTCCAGGCTTAACTGGTCTAGAACAGGGGCTGTCACTAGAACACTAGAGTGACCTTGTCACTGACATTTTTTCGAGTTCCACAGGTTGAGAACTACCAGCAAGAAGTTGTGTCAAGGCTATAAAACAGTGGCAGTGAGAGTACCTAAACAGGGAGCTGGGAGAACAGGAAATGGTGAGATAGTGCCCCAAAAGTGGGATGGCTGAATAAGAATGCCAGTGGTAACAGTTCCTAATGATGACAGGATTCAGGCTGAGTTCATGAGAGGGGTGATAGAGGCAGAGAAGACGAAACAGTCCCTGGAGATGAGGAGGTCAAAGAACCAGGAACATAGGGCATTAGGGAGCTCATCCCAGTGGAGGGGAAATCACTACAAACAATGGCAGAAGGTGGCAAAGAGAGATGAAGTAGGAGCTGAGCTAAAGTCTTCAAAAAACAAAGCGGAGTGGCCAATGGGTTGGTCAATGCCAGCAACACAGAGAGGAAGACACTAAATAATGATGAATTTTGTCTATGATGTTTAGTAAAAACAAAGTTATCAGCAGGCTACCAATTCTAGCTCGACCCAAAATAAGGTTTTCAATTACTTTGTTTGGTGGTGGCTAGAGGAGCAAAATGCCAAATCCAATGAAATGAAATCTTCTAACATGTTAAAAGTATTTTCACTGAGGTATAAAACATGTGAATTTTGACAATTCTGGAAGAAATTCTAAAAACTTCCCAGAATGTTTCTTATTTTAAATGTAATTTTTTTTAATCTCTGTTTATTTTTGAGAGAGAGAGACAGAGTGTGAGCGGGGGAGGAACAGAGAGAGAAGGAGACACAGAATCCGAAGCAGGCTCCAGGCTCCGAGGTATCAGCACAGAGCCCAACACGGAGCTCGAACTCATGGATGGCAAGATCATGACCTGAGCCGAAGTCGGACGCTTCACTGACAGAACCACGCAGGTGCTCCCCAGAATGTTTCTTAAGTGAGAGACTTTCTATTTGAATTCTCTTTTCCCCTTATACATATAACTGAGCATCATTGAAGGATCAAGAAATCACCATGACAAGGTTTCTTAAACTGTAACTTCTTGAACCATACTTTAAAATTTAGAAGACAGGCATGGGAAGAGAGCGTTCATAACTTTTATCAGATTCTCAAAGGGTTTATGACTCTAATACCAACAACCACTGAACTAAGATATTTCATAGGTTAGGCAATCAAGCTACCTTTAAGTAAAGCCATGCCATGCTTAATGAAAAAACCTCCAAATTCTGCCAACGAGATGATATAAGTCAATACTTTCTCAGCTATAGGTAATGCCCATTCGCCCATTAAAAGTGTGTTCAGTGAAAAGTTTGTATGCAAAGATGAAGAAACAGAAGATAATAGGAGAAAAGACTGATTTAAATAAAAGCCCTATCCAAGGGCACAGGAAAGTACAATGTAATCCCCAACCATACATAATAAATATGTCCCTGGAAAGTCAGGCTTCTGTTACATATTAAAAGAGTATTCTTTCAAATGTACTATGGAAGCAGTTATTTAAAGGAATATCACAGAGAATAATTTTGGAGATGCATTAATTTTTTTGTAATGCAATAAAGTCTATAACTTATTTTTTGGCTTTTTTTTTTAATCCAGATTGGTAGAGATATAGTGTTTGCTTATAGCAAAAAATATGTCAGTTGATTAATACCCTTTCCATTCCAATACAGTGGATCTGATGATAAATACTATTAAGGCCCACAGCAGAGAATACCACTGCCCTAGAAGTTTTGTCATCTACCTGCTTCATCCTTCTCTCTGTTAGGAGAAAGTAGCGTTGCCAATTAGGAAAGCACTGCAGTGTTCTCTCCATCTAACTAAAGCACCTACCAGCTCCTCCTTAACAGCCACACCTTCCGAGCCATCACTGATCTGTAGGGTGGTCTTCTTTACCCGTCGCACCCTCTTTGGTTTGCATTCCTTGGGAACAGGCTGCTTACGACTTCTGGGGACTTTCTTTTGGGGCTCCCAGGCACTATCTTCCTTGTCATCTTCTTCAGAGGCAGATGATCTAAGAGTAAATTGATAGAAAATGAAGGAAAAATGAAGCCAAATGTTAAAGGCAAAAAGACATGCTTCTTGAAAAAAGAATAAGGTAGGAGGTGTTTAATATAAAATGGAATGATGTGAGTACAAGCTATGAATACATATTGCTAAGTACTGAAACAAGAGTTGATCAAAGGCCAATGTAAAAATAGTCCGGATATGTGATGAATCACAGGTGTCTCCATTCCCCTCTCACCTATACAGCGCATGCACCCACAGGCGTGTGCGTGCGCGTGCGCGCACGCGCACACGCGTGCACACACACACACACACACACACACACACACTCTCTCAAGACAGAGGAAATCATTCATTACCTAACACAAGTTACTGGGTGGTGTCACACCACAGTCTGTGAGGTTTGCTATTATACCAATGAAAAGCACTTTAACAATTTCCTAAGTGGTAATCAAATTAATTTAAATGAAGTTCCTCAAACCAATGTAAAGAGTGGGAAACAGCTGTAGGAAACATCCTAAATTACATAAAAAGCCAGCACCAGGGTGCCTGGGTGGCTCAATCAGTTAAGCATCCAACTTCGGCTCTAGTCATGATCTCACGGTTAGTGAATTCAAGCCCTGCCTCGAGCTCCATGCACTGACCACATCGTGGAGCCTGCTTGGGATTCTCTCTCTCTCCCTCTCTGCCCCTCTCCAGCTCACTCACTCTCTCTCTCAAAATAACTAAATAAACTTAAATAAATAAATATATATATATCCCAAATTAGACCACTTCTCACCACGTTCACTTCCAGGACCCTAGACTTCTACAATAATCTCCTTAACTGATCCCCTGCTTCCATTCTTGCTCCCCTACAGTCTGCTCTCCACCAAGAAACCAGAATGATCTTTTAGAAATGTAAACTGGATCATGTCACATCCCTGCCCAAACCTTCCAATGGCTTCCCAACCCCCTGTCACCAGCTAGACCCCAAGACCCAACCTTTACTGCCCACTTGCTTGTACTAACATTTTTCCCGTCTTACATTTTCCTTTAAGTTCTTCTTTCTGGCAACTTATCCCTTAAATCAGGCAAATGAAACCCAAAACCACCCTTCAGGTGATGGGACTTCCCTGACAAGACCTCTTGCAGGGCCAGACCACCCAGTCCCTTTGGGCTAAACCTGACTCGCACCTGCACAGACAGACCTTAGGGTGACCCCTGAAATGTCCAGCAATTACCTTTACCTTGTTACAATACTAAAATCTCCACCCAAGGAGGGCCACAAGCCTCACTTACATAACATGCAATGTATGTATGGGCATGTTTCCTTAAGGTGCATGTGTGACCTTATGCCCACCTCCACATACAATGACAAGGCTTCTCTTGTCATCCTAACCCTAAACAAAAGGTACCTATTCACCCTCTTTTGGGGAGTCACAGCTTTGCAAGATATTCCCAGTGATCTCCTTACTTGTCGCAGATCAAGTTTACTTTGTGTGACAACTCCACCTGGTGTATCTGTGACTCACCTAGGAGCAAACTCAGGTTGGTCCAGTTAGACAACTTCAAAATAAGATGCTGACACCTTGTCAAGGCCTATTAGGTCCCATCCATTCAATTTCATTTCTAGTCACTCTCAGCCTTGGTGACTCTTGTCTGGCCACCCTTGTCTTGCTGTTGCCTAAACACACCAAACTCATTCCTGCCTCGGGGTCTTTGCACTTGCTGCTCCTTCCATGTGGAACACCCATCCCTGTATCCTTGCAAGTTGTTACTTCCAAATCTCATTTAGATCTCTTGCCACATCCTCCAAAAGAAGTTTCCTGAATACTGTATCCAAGATGGTTCCTGACCAGAACACTCACCATGCTATCCCTTGCCCTGTTTAATGTTCTTTTAGAGTACTTATTACTGCCTAATATTTATCAGTCACTATTTAACAAATAACTTCAGGGCACATACAGTACAGTGCTCTAAAGCAGAGGCTCTCAACTGAGGACAATTTTATCCCCCTGGGGAACATCCGGCAATGTCTGGAGACATTTTTGATGGTCACAACTGGGACAATTTTATCAAACTGGGAAGATCCTTTTGGCACTAGTTAGTAGAGACCAGCATTCCTGGTCTCTACTACATCCTACAATACAAAAGACAGTCTCCACAGCAAAGAATTATCTGGTCAATAGTGCTGATTTTGAGAAACCCTGTTCTGAAGTGATATAAAAAAACTCCCTGCTCTCATGGAGCTTACACTCTAGTGTAAATATCATGGTATACACTTGGTTACTTTCTCTCTCCTTGTTCAATAGTTGAACACCAACACCGAAACAGAGCCTGGTACACAACATGAGTTCAATAAATATTTGTCCCGTGAATGAATGAAAAAGACAACAGTCTTCCTCAACCCAAATGACTTACATTAGTAAGTGACAGAATGCATTTGTCCTTAAAATATACATCATTCTCCCAACCCCATAGGAAACCAATATGCTTACAACTCTGAGAAGGAAGAGAATTCATCTTTGGATACCACAGTCTGGACCTTGACTTTTGCTCTTCTTGGCAATGATGACATCTGGAAGAAACAGAAGATAAAATCAGCATGATGTGAATCACCTGAATAACTGATCACTTACGTTGTCTACAAAGCGATGTGCCACTCAAAACTAACACTCCAATAGCTCCGCTGTTAAAAAAAAAAAAAAAATGCCACAGAAAAAAAAAATGAGAAGTATTCAAAAGCCCAAACACCGGTTTCCCCTCCTATGAGGCTGCCAAATATAAGAGCAGCTAACAGCCTTCCAATGGTTTCAAAAGCCTGAGGAATGTGGGCCACCTTTGGAAAAATGTAAGCTCCGCTAGGGTAACAACTTTTAGGTTTTTTTAGAGTTACATGCGTGAATATACCGCAAGCACTATTAGCTGTTTTATCAGACAGCAAATGATAAAGTCCTTTATCAAACTATTTTAAGGATAAGAAGTATTTTCCCACTTTTATATCTTCTTACAATATAAAGGCCTATCTATAAAGTTGACAGTCAAATAAATGTTGATGGACTGAAAAGGCCGCCACATTATTCTTAAAACAAGAACATCTATTCCCTTAGTTTATGGTATTTAAATAAAAGACTTATTGGAAAATAAAAAAATAATCAGTAATGTCACTAGAAATAGTTACCAGCTCTTCAAAACACGGAGACAAATAACCAGAGACATCCTACAATATAGGAAGTCAGCAAATTTACTTTAGCTAATAAATTTTATTACCTAAAGAGTGTATGTCAAACCCTAAAATCCACATTAGACTCTGACATGCTTGGAACCCTTTAACCAGTCATGTTACAATGCCTCCAGTTCTAACTTCCACTTAGAAGAAGGAATGCTTCATAGAAATACAAAGGGGTTGTCACAAAAGCATACAGGTGCCCTCGGCTCTTTAGCTCAATTCAGTCCAGTAGTTGCAGATTAGTCAAGAGTGCACCCAGAGTAAACCAGGAGAACAAAAGGAAAACAGTCTCCAGGAAGTGGACAGGATAATCTTCCATCTTTTCCTTCACCTCCCTTTGTGGCACTGTACGCTTATGCCAGTCAGCCTTCTTCAAATAAGTGTTTCTAGATACTGATCATAAAGGAATAGGTAACTTTTGATTTCTATGTTATATGAACTTGACTACAATAAAACAAAAACACAAACAGAAAAAGTTAGTGTATCACGGGGTGCCAGTTCAAATCAAGGCAGAAATGAGTTGTTCAAAAAGTTGTATTAAGACAACAAGCTATCCTTCTGGAGGAAAACAAATATTTAAGTCCTACTGCCATACCCTGAACAAAAATATATTCCACACAACTAATAATTTAAAACGTGCAAAATATTTCTCAGAGCTAAAACAAACAATCCTAAAATTAGTACAGAACCTCAAAAGACCCCAAATAGCCAAAGCAATTTTGAAAAAGAAGAACAAAACTGGAAGTATCACAATTCTGGATTTCAAGCTATATTACAAAGCTGTAATCATCAAGACAATATGATACCAGCACAAAAAACAGACACAAAGATCAATGGAACAGAATAGAAAACCCAGAAATGGACCCACAACTATATGGTCAATCAATCTTCAGCAAAGCAAGAAAAGAATATCCAATAGAAAAACACAAGTCTTTCAACAAATGGTGTTGAGAAAACTGGACAGCGACATGCAGAAGAATGAAACTGGAGCACTTTCTTACACCATACACAAAAATAAATTCAAAATGGATGAAAGACCTAAACGTGAGCTAGGAAACCATCAAAATCCTAGAGGAGAACACAGGCAGCAACCTCTTTAACCTCAGCCGCTGCAACGTCTTACCAGACATATCACTCAAGGCAAGGGAAACAAAAGTATACATGAACTAATGGGACTTCATAAAGATAAAAGTCTGCACAGTGAAGAAAACAATCAACAAAACTAAAAGGCAGCCTACACAATGGGAGAAGATATTTGCAAAAAGCATATCTGATATCGGGTTAGTATCCAAAAATCTACAAAGAACTTACCAAAGTCAACATCCAAAAAACAAGTTAAGAAATGGGCAGAAGACATGAGCAGACATTTTTCCAAAGAAGACATCCAGATGGCTAACAGACACATGAAAAGATGCTCAACACCACTCATCATCAGGGAAATACAAATCAAAACAATAATGAGATACCACCCTACACCTGTCAGAATGGCTAAAATTAACAACACAAGAATTAACAGGTGTCGTTAAGGATGCAGAGAAAGGGAAACCCTCTTCACTGTTGCTGGGAATGCAAACTGGTGCAGCCACTCTGGAGAACAGTATGGAGATTCCTCAAAAAAAAAAAAAAAAAAAACTAAAAATAGAACTACCCTATGATCCAGCAACTGAACTATTAGGTATTTACCTAAAGGATAAAAAACAAAATACAGATTTGAAGGGATACATGCACCCCAATGTTTAGAGCAGCATTATCAACAATAGCCAAACTAAGGAGAGAGCCCAAATGTCCACTGACTAATGAATGGATAAAGATGATGTGGTTTATATACACAATGGAATATTACTAAGCCATCAAAAAAGTGAAATCCTGCCATTTGCAACAACATGGATCTAGAATGTATTATGCTAAGCAAAATAAGTCAGTCAGAGAAAGACAAATACCATATAATTTCACTCATATGTGGAATTTAAGAAACAAAATAGATGAACATACAGGAAGAGGGGGAAAAGAGGGAAACAAACCACAAGAGGCTCTTAATAATAGAGAACAAACTATATAGGTTGATGGAGGGAGATGGGTAGGAGATGGTCTAGATGGGTGATGGGTACTAAGAAGGGCACATATGATGAGCACTGGATGTTGTTTATAAATAATGAATCACTGAATTCTACTCCTGATACCAATATTGTACTGTATGTTACCTAAAATTTAAATTTTAAAAAAGGGAAAAAAATAATTTAAAAATAAATGTAAAAGAGATAGTCAAAAAATAAAAAATAAATTAAAAATAAAATGTACAAAATAAAACTACAAGGGGCACATGGGTGGCTCAGTCAGTTGAGGGTCTGACTCTTCGGCTCAAGTCATGCTCTCAGGGTCACAAGATTGAGCCCCAAGTCAGGCTCTGTGCAAAACATAGAGACTGTTTAAGACTCTCTCTCTCTCTCTCTCTCTCTCTCTCTCTCTCTCTCTCTGCCCCTCTCCCTGCTCGAGCTCTCTCTCATTAAAATAAATAAAATTTTTTTTAAAAGCTCTTTCTCTCTCTCTCTCTCTCCCTGTGCCCCTCTCCCCGACTCATGCTCTCTCCCTAAAATAAAAAAAATTTCATTAAAAAATAAAACTACAAAAGTACTACAGAAAATAAATATGACCATTTTCATAATTTAGAGTGGAGGTAGGGGAAGAAAAGTTTTCCTAGGCATAACTGAAAATTTCAAAAGCCAAAAGAGAGACAGATTTCACTATATAAAAATTAAAATTCCAAGTCAGCAGTGGGAGTGCTTCAGAACCAAACCAATTTATTCTGCACTATCATCAAAAAAACCACAAGAAGCAGTACCTGATACCTTGGAACTAAGAATGAAGGGACTAAGGGCTTGTGTAAGTTGTCTGAGGCAAAGAAATATCTCTAGAGGCCCTACTCCACTTCATGCTATTAAGCAACTGCCTGGGGAAAAAGTCTGGAAAGAATAAAACCATCTTTAGACTACAGGACACCAAATACAGTTGTGGGCATGAGAAACATACAGACCAAACAGTAAATGAAGAGGGCCCCTCCCCACCAGTCCTCTTCTGCTACTAAGCTCCTAGTCAGACCTTTTCTCCAGGGAGGAAAATGGAAAGACTCTTCTCTGGAGAATCTGACCAGCCCAAAAATAAAAACCTGAAGATACTAAATTCCCCCAACAAACAACCCAACTAGATCATCTACTCGCACCTCTCCGTTCTACAATATACCAGAATTCAGAACATTCCCATACAGACCACCATGCACCAATTCTCACTCCACACTTTAACAGAAATGTGTTTAAAATAGGGGTAGACACACCCATGGCAATCTCATAAAATTCTGAGTAACCATTAAAGAAACAAATATTGTTCTTTCCCAAAACAAGTATGTCCAAATTCCCCTTTATTAGGCACCCTGGAAGCAATGTTACCATTGAATGATGAGTAAGATGTAAACTTATCCTCTGACAAATAGAAAAATATGAATTTGAAAAGGGAGGTGGGGAAGGAGAATATGCTTGAGCACGTAGGCCAATTTCAGACTGGTTCTAGAAAGAGTATATATAGAAGCTAAGGACCTAGAAATTTTTTCAAAACTGCCTATGCCAGGTATACTCCCAAGGGTATACATATTCCAGTTTAAAGGCTGATGTTTCTAGGAGCTGTTTCTCCATCTCCACTCCTCCCAAGTTCCAGTCTTCATATCACAGGACTCATTCAATTAACCAAAATTCCATCCATTTCCATGCTTTTAAATATCTGTATCACCTACTTATTAACAATCCTAATACCTCCAACCCAAATCTTGCCAAAGATTCAGATTTACATAATAAATTATTCATATTGCCTAAGAAACTATGTAGATGCCTCATACTTACCTAAAATGTAACATACCCACAATGAAATCTTGATAACCATTTCTTGTCTTAAAACCCATTCCTACCGGTCTTTCCCATCTCAGTAAATGGCACCATCATCCATCTAAATAGGTGGCTAAGCCAGAACCTTGGAAAAATTTTAACAGCTTCACTGAGCTATAAATGACATACAATAAATTATACATGCTTAAAGTGTACAAACATGGTAAGTTTTGGAATATGTACACACATCTCCACAACCAAGATAATACACCTATCATCCTCCAAAGTTTCATTTGCTAAGCTAAAGGCTCGCAAATCTTTTTTTCCTGTCATCTCCCAGTCTACTAATAAGCAACATAAATTCTTCCTCCAAAATACAGCTTACACTTCTATGATCTCTTTAGTCCCCATATCTCTTATCTAGACTATAATAACCTCTTAACTGGCTTCCCTGCTTCCACTCTTGCCTCTACTACCCATTCTCCACATATGAACCCGAAAGATCATTTAGAAAATGCTTAAAAACCATTCCCACTTCCCACTCCATCCTCCACTTAGAATCAAATCATATTTTTACCATGACCTTCTAAAATGCCCTACAGGACTGCCCCCTGCCTGTCTTTCTAACCACATTTACCATTTGTTGCAGCTCTTCAGCCAGTTACAACATTCTTTCAGTCCCTGAATGAACCACAATTCTTTGCCATCTCAGGTTCACTCTGTCTGGAACACTATTCCCGATGCTTATCAATGGACTAGCTCTTTCTCATTTCTTACAGCTCAGCATTTTAGGCCTAAAATGGGTTTCCAAAATATAGTATTATTATAGGACCCTATTTATTTCCTTTAAACAGTACTATATAACATAGTCTAGAATTATCCTTGTTTATTGTTTGCATCCCCCATGTTTACTTCATGGCAGTAAACACCATGAAGGAAGAAACCACATTTGCCTTTTTCTGCATAACACAGAGCTTAGCACTTAATAGCTACCCTATAACATACATGTATTAAATGAACATAAGAATATATACAAAATGGTCTCTATAAAGGAATATACATTTTCCCCCATAACTATTAGGCAATATCACACATGGCACTCATTGTTTTCTTTTTGAAAAAGTGATGGTACAGAACATTCTTATTCTTAGTGGCTTAAGATCTTTCCCTCTCAACGCTGTCTTATCTCTGTGGACACAAGAGCATATTCAAAATCAGTTGCTGTGATGGTCCTAAAGGAGAAGGCACTAAATTAGGGTGAGTGAAAATCGGGAAGGGGGTGTGAAGAAACCTGCACACACATAAATATTACATTAAAAATGGGAAAACCACAATTAGAAATGTTAAGAGCACAGGGGAACTTTTTAGGAGGGAGCTGAAGAAGTTTCCCCAAGGGTACAAAGAGAAGTGCTTGGAATGTCGGCAAAGATCCCTACATAATACAAAGTAACAGACCTGTAAAGGATGCGGATGATGCCGACAAGGCCATGATCTGATGGTAAAAAGGGTGTTTCCTCCCCCATCACCGATAACTTGAGGTGTGGAAACAAGCTAGGTTTGCCTGGGTTTTCCCATGTCTGTCCCTACGTGCTAAGAGCTGCGATTTGACTGAGAAGACGCGCCAGGTAACACGCGGCAGCTAGGAGGGGTTTTCCGGGTGTAGGTTGGAAGATACAGACCGCAGACCGTAATATGTAATGACACTTCTCACTTTAAAAAGGGATGTTATTTCCCAAATGAGCGCTTAAAATTTTTTAAATGGCCCCATAACAACCGGAGCCCGGACGCCGGGTTCACGCGAGCCCGCAGGAACCCGCCAAGGCGGACGCTCAGCTCACCTTCCCGCCCGGCGAGTCAGAAGGCCCGGGATTCTGTGTGACCGCATCTTCCGGTTCCCGCCGGAAGTTTTTCAAACGCCGGAAGTCCCGCCTCGCTTCCCCCTGACTCGCGGCAGCAGCTCAGACTGCCGGAGCGGGATGGAGCCAAGCTGGACGGAGGCGGGGCTAAGTCGAGGATCCTTCGGGAGCTCTGAGGCGGGGCCCTACCCGGGGTGTGGCGGGACTGGAAACCAGCACTCTCTCCCCGGATGCTGCCAGAAGCGGAGCCCGAGGTGTTGTTAACGCGGACCCACCTTCTTGTTCTTTCTCTTTCTCCTCACCCGGCTTACCCTTTGCATCCTGCTCTTTGAAATTCAGTCAAAAATGTTTCTTTTCATTACATTATTTTTAATTTGCAGTAGAAAAAGGAGAAGCAAGTTATATTCTTTCTAAAGTCAATTTTAAGTGTCGTTAATGAACTTCGCTCAGGGTGTTTTAAGCATACTTTTAGCCTGTTTCATTATTTCCTAGGCCCCGAGATAAGGGTTTTGCTCTAGTCTTATGGAAATACACAAAGTTGGCCTCTTCTGAGAAGCCCTCACACAGCCCTTGAGGTGCATGCTACCTTAATGGAGTTTAACCCTAGAGTCACGTCTGCCTTGCTTCAGTCTCTCAGGCAGCTCGTACTGCCAGGTACACCGATTTGGAAACCGGGTTCTCTTAGAAACTTACTGATAGACTTTGGCAAATCCTTTTATGTCTTTGAACTTGTTTTACTGGCTTCCCTTCCATCCTACCCCTCACCTGGTAAGGTACCCCGTTCCATATTAGAGGTAAAAACTCAATTAATTTACTCAAAGTAAACGCAGGTCCCAGATACCTCACCTTGGGCAAAAATGGGAAAACCCTGATCCATTTCATTTTCAGATTCTTGGAGAGTGCTATGACTTACTTATAAGTCCTAATAACAGTGTCCTAGGCGGGTCTTCCTCTGTATCCCAAATTTCCATTTCCCTTTCCACAAAACACAAAAGTAGCTCCTGCTTTTTGCTTGAATGACTCCAAGGTACCTTGTTTTTTAAATGTTTATGTATATATAAGTATATAATAAATATATATATATGTTTATTTTTCAGAGACAGAGAGAGAACGAGCAGGAGAGGGGCAGAAGACTGAGACTTGGGAGGAAACCAAGAGTTGGATGCTTACCCGACTGAGCCACCCAGGTGCCCCAAATGTTTATATTTTGAGAGAGAGCCTGAGTAGAGGAGGGGCAGAGAGAGAGGGAGACAGAAGATCCAAAGCAGGCTCTGTGCTGACAGCAGTGAGCCGATGTGGGGCTCAAACTCGGCAACCATGAGATCATGACCTGAGCTGAAGTCAGAAGCTTTAACCCCACTGCCATTCCCTAAGCTCCACTTTTTTTTGACTAACCCAAATTAAGAGCTATAAAGGCCTCCCCAGCAATTCTTTCCCTTTACCTTGAATATATTTTCTCAAAATCAGTATTCAGTAAAAAGAAAAAATGACTTGTTTTTTGGTGATGTATTTTTTTGCCAAACACACTAAATTCTAAACTCACAAAAACAGACAACAAAATTAGACGTAAAATTAGGGAATAAAGTCTGTTGTTAGATCAAAACCCCGGATTTGGGGTGCGTGGCTACCTCAGTCAGTAGAGCATGTGACTCTTGATCTCCGGGTCCTAAGTTTGAGCCCCCCATATTTGGCATAGAGTTTACCTGAAAACAAATTTTTTTTAAATCTCTACAGAGAAAACAAACATGGATTTGTTTTAGAAGATTATATAGAGCAGCTTTCCATACTAATGACTCATTTCCATGTGTTTTGAGTACTGAAAGGCCAAGCAAGGTATTGAAATACCTTATGAGTGGGCCTTGCTAACTATAGATTCACCCAAAGTAAACATAAATTTTACTAGATAATGTTTGCTATGGGAAGAAAATAGGACTCTTTTTCAATTTAGTAAGTCTGTTCATCTGTATCTTAAGATTCTTGGTCAGTAAGGATCAGTTTCTGAGATTTTTCAGAGTTGGTTTTTTTTTTTTTTTCCTCCTTAATTTGTAGTCTTATGTTGCCTTTCACAGTGATTCCAGAAGGTTTGGAACTGTCTGCTACAATCACAGTCTGCTCCATAATTTCTAGTTCTGAAAATACTAGAGAACACATTACAGTCCAGAATTATGGGAAGGGAAACCAGGCCATAATAATCAACAATAATTTACTATTTACTATTCACCTATTTTTGATGTTGAATTGTGCTATACAGGTTTAAGGTAGGAAGTAAAAACGGTCAAGATAAACCAGTATTTTGCAAAATCTTTTGCCATAATTTCTACCCTGGAGGAATTTACAAACAAGACTGGAGAATATATACAGTTGTAAGAGACAGAGATCCATACAAGACAGTCTGGATTCAAGGGTTAGGTTGTATATCAAAGTAGCCACAGTGGTAAAGTGAGAGTGAGTATAAGGATTGGACAGTGGAGTGTTGGATCTTGACTCCTCCATCAGAGATGTTTGCCTTTCAACTGGGGAAGAAAAATGATTAGTAAGTGAAAGTAAATAACCTGTAAGGTTTTAGACATCAGACATCTGGGAAAAATAAAAGCTGGGGTGGTGTCCTCTGAAAGTAATGCAGGTGGCAACCTGCTCCAAAGATAAGTAAGACTGTCCAGAAAACATTTCTCTTGGAATTTTGCAAGACAGCCACTCCCACTAAAAGCTGTCAAGGGAAATTTATAATCACTAAGTATAAACCAGGCCCCACCACAAAGACTGCCTTTTCTCTCCAGGTCCTTGCCCAATCTATTGTTTACTTTTGCACCTTAAGTACTGAATTTCAAAAAATTCATGACTTTAGCCTGGAATAATCTGGATGCTCACCTGAGACTTATTGCAACAGAGTTTTGGAGTAATGAAACATGTTTTGGAGGCTATTTATTTTATTGCTGCAAAGCATGTAGCTATTCATATGTTATTCCTTGGTATGTGATCACTTATACGTTATTATCTGTGTTTTCAAGTCCTTTCCCTATGGTTCTGTCTCCCCAAGGAGACTGTAATAATAGTAATGACTTATATTCATTGATCATCTACCCTATGCCAAGCACTAAATTAAGTTTTTACATGTATGTGTGTATTTAACTCACATAACAGCTCAATGAGATACTGCTATTATCCTGTTTTTATAAATGAGAAGACCAACGTATGGAGAAGTTAAATAACTCATCCAAAGTCACATCAGCTATTAAATTGCAGATCTGGATCTAAACCTAGTACTCTGAAAGACCTGCATATACCTCCACTCAAAGCAAAGATCTTTCCTTATCTGTTACATTGGCCAGTGCAAGACTGAATCTTTAAGATGCTCAGGAACTGTTGAATCTCTAAATACACTAAATAAAGTACTATCTACCCACCTGGGATACAACAAGGCTCTTCTCTCCCTTGACTTCAAACTAATCAAAGTTCCATGGGAACAAAAATTCTTAATAAAGATGCACTATATTTTGCACCCGCTAAATTGTAAGGTACTTGGATCTAAGCCTTGGAAATAAGTCTTAGTCATTTTGGTCTCTCCTTCTCTAACTCTTCCCTCCACCCACATAGTGCCCAATAATGCTTGACAAATAATAAGTACTTAATAAAATAGTAGACTAATGCGTGGCCCAAAGAATGTGCCTGTAGTAAAAAAAAAAAATACATCTTTCCTCGCACTATGAAAGTAATCTAAAGTTCTTGCCACCAGTGAGTTACCATTTAAAAACTCAAGTGTAGGGGCACCTGGGTGGTTCAGTTGGTTAAGCGTCTGACTTTGGCTCAGGTCATGATCTTGTAGTTAATGGGTTCAAGCCCTGTGTTGGGCTCTGTGCTAACAGCTCAGAGCCTGGGACCTGCTTCTGATTCTGTATCTCCCTCTCTCTCTACCCCTCCCCTGCTCATGCTCTGTCTCTCAAAAATAAGTAAATGTTAAATAAATAAATAAAAACTCAAGTGTACTTATGGAAGTTCAAACTTTTTATCCCTTAGAGTTAATCACCTGGCAAAAGCAGATGAGTGTTTCAGATTAGAGAATGCACAAACTGAAACTAAGCCCTATTTCATGAATTTGCGTATAAGCCTCACCCATCCACTTTCCTACTTCTAGCAGCTCTCATTCCTCATACTGAAACTCATTGGCTTCAATGAGCTTCTCTCAATAATTCAGCCATGAACTTAGATGTTTCCTGCAAAATATAAATGATTATTAAGCAGAGAGGGGATGGCCTGTGTTTTCCAAATGAGAAAGGGGTTTCTTTTTTCTTTTTTTTTTTTATGATGAAAAAATTTAGATTTAGCCAGCTAGACTCAGTTTAGATGATCCCAATTTTGTTGGCAACATCCAAAGCATCATAGTCAGGAGCCAGTCAAACATATGCTTTTTTTTCTCCATCGGGCCTGATCAGAATGTTGACCTTGGCCATGTCAATGTCATAGAGCTTCTTCACAGCCTGTTTGATCTGGTGCTTGTTGGCCTTGACATCCTCAATGAACACAAGAGTGTTGTTGTCTATTTTCTTCATGGCTGACTCGGTAGTCACGGGGAACTTGATGATGGCATAATGGTCAAGCTTGTTTTTCCTGGGGGCACTCTCTCAAGGCTATTCGGGCTGTCTTCGGAGACGCAGTGTCTTGGATGGTCGGAATGTAGGTGATGTGCGGATTTTCTTTTTTTTATGACTGTGGATGCCTTTCAGCTCTGCTTTCTTGGCCTTCAAAGCCTTTGCTTTGGCTTTGGCTTTGGGAGGGGCAGGGGCTTCCTTCTTTGCCTTCGGCGCCATCTTCATGAAAGGGGCAAAGGGGTTTCTTGTTAAGAGAGCTAGACCAGGCTGGTGAATGGGTTCCCAAACTTGGCCTTTCCTATTACTTTTTCAGTCTGGGAACAGCAGCATAATTCCAAAGGGCTAGTCTAGTCTGAGGACATTGTTCTAGCACAGATAAGTATGTCAGTTTTTTGTGTAAAAGAAAATAGATTCAATGGATTAAAATCCTGAGTTTTGATAAAATATTGAATGGATCTTGAAGAGCCATCAGTTAAG